CCTGCGAACCATGTATGGAATTCCCGTGCTTACCGGCGACCAGCTGAAGCCCGTGACGCTTTCAGCACTAGGTTACGACGATGGGACCCAGCCGGAGAGCTTCATTGTGAGTACAGCCATGATGGACTTTACTCTATGCTATGCCGCATCTGGAGCTTTCTTCGAGCAGCCTAGAGTCGTCGAATCCGGAATCAAACTGGCAATCCGGCTGATCGATTTAAACACCATTCCCTTGGCCCTGTGGCTCGGACTCGATACTGCCAAATTCAGTGTCGTTTTCGACGACACTGCCCACCCTCATCCCCCTACTAGCGACAGCCCATCTGCAGGAATCCCACCAGGACATCAACTCGGAGAGCATCCTACTGTCAAGGAACTCCAAGAGAGGTGGTCCCCGTTCTTGGTCACCGCGTGCCTGAGATACATTGCGGACAAAGTGAGCCCCGAGTTCCGCCTATTCGAGCAGGCCCAGTTAGAAGAACTGCCGGACCGTGTTCCTGAGCATCTGCGGTCTGTCCCAGGAACGGCCGTCAAGAACTCTCGCGTGAAAGACGTCGGGTTCGGATCGATGCCATCCATCAAGGAGCAGAAGCCCAGCACGGAGGTCGAACTTGTTTCCGCGGCGCTCATTTGCTTGCCGTACAAAGCGCTGCAGGAGCTTTTTCTTCTCTTGGATGCGAAAGGTGTCTTGTCGGCCGGCCTGGCCGGTCGCATCGTGGCCGCACGGGAGGATCGACGCATACAGGCGCTTCGGATCCTTAGCCAGCAAGGACTCGGCGTGGACCAGGACGATATCCCCAACGATGTTCGGGAGTTGGAGTATCGAGAGTTTCTCACCACGCGTCTTATCTCGGTAGCAGGAGAGCTGGACACCGTCACCGAAAAGGTGACTCTTGAGCGAACTTGGAAGGGTCTCCTTATTGCAGACCAGGCCTCATCTTCCTCCGAGAAAGGAAGCCCACCCGCCCGCCCACTCGCTTTACTGAACTAGAGATTTAATTTTGTGTTTGTGTGCAGATAAGCAGGGGCAAAAAAGAAATGGGATAGGAGGAAAACTGTGGTAGAAGGTGAAGTCAAGTTAGGGAGAGTGAGGGGATAGTGAAGGGAAGAAACAAGCACGGTGATTGATCATGATGGACAAAAACAGGCGGAAACACGTCCACAAGCGAGGCGGTGAGAAGCTGCATGCAAACGAGCAACTTCTTTGTTGTTTTGAGTATTTTGTTACAGTTCTATTTGCTGTGATGTGTTTACCGCATCTTGGTCTTCTTCTTCTTTTGTGGACACAACCCTAGTGGCAAGCTACTAAGCAGATTTCAATTTCATCACTCTAATGTTTATTAGACATCATTGTCGAGTTCGTCTTTATTGTAGCTCAATCGTCTATTTACTAGCACTTGCATCCATCCCACCGACTGTACAGTGTATGAAACCAGCAATTTAGGATTTGTCAGGGAATCCAAAGTCAACCCCGAAAGGCGGATAGACATAGCGGGTAAAGGCATTTCTCGCGGCCAGATCGTCGGTATATTTGGCGATCGTCTCCATATCGGATGCATCCAGCTCTACCAGGTTGCGGTTCTCCTCAATGCGAGACGGCGTCACCGACTTGGCAATGACGGAGGACCCACGAGCAACTATACACAGAAAACGCACCATTAGCCACGCATAAAACCATCGGGGGGCAGTCAGCTAGAAAACATACTATGCCAGCTCAGCAAAACACTCGCAGGAGGAACCCCCCGCTTCTCAGCAACCTTAACAATCGGTTCAGCCGAGAACATCGGGCACCCGGTGCTGCCCAGCGGGCTGTAAGCCGTGATGTGGATGCCCTTTTGCTTGCAAAAGTCGACAATCTCCTGCTGGGGGAGAGAGGGGTGGTTTTCGATCTGGTTGACGGCGGGGACGATGGTCGCTTCCGGGAGCAGCTGCTCGAGGTAGCGCACGCTGTAGTTGGACACACCGATCGCCTTGGCCTTCCCGGTTGACATGAGCTTCTCCATGTTTTTCCACGTTGTGACGTGGGAGTGGGAGTGCACGATGTCCCGGGAGTCGTCAGGGAGTCTGGGGAACATGGGGTGATTTCCTTGAAATTGGTTAGATGTATTGGTGTTGATTCGGAGTTAGTTGTCCACGAACCGTTGGGATTCATGGCTAGGGGCCAGTGCATGAGATACAGATCCACGTAGTCCAGACCCAGTCTCTTAAGACTCTCGTCGAGAGCCTGTTCCACTCTGCTGTGGTAGGTGCACCACAGCTTGGTGGTCACGAAGAGGTCCTCGCGCTTGACCTTGCCTGAAGCCAGGGCTTCCTTGATGCCATTGCCGACTTCCTCCTCGTTTCCGTAGCACGCCGCGCCGTCGATGTGACGGTATCCCACGGAGATGGCGTGGCTGACGGCGTTCTCGACCTCTCCGGGCTTGGACTGCCAGGTTCCTGGGAATCACATTAGCGAGACTCGATATCGGAATAAGGATTCCGTCATCGGTGGTGGTTGCGGGGCCGTACCGAGAGCCAGAGCGGGGATCTCCGCTCCCGTGTTGAGCTTGAATCGTGTGTCGGCAACACCCATGATGGACGGATTACAGTAGGATTATTGGAAGAGGGTGGAATGAGAGAAAGAGACAAGAGAGAAGTAGACAAGTGAGGAAGAAGGTGTATTTGACCAAGTGAAACAAGAGGGGGAGAAGTCAATTGGAGACTACTAAAGGTGACCCCCACGTGCCCCTCATTTCCACCAGTCTTTACTCTCTTGGGTCACATCCTTCTTCTTTCTTCCATCAATCACAGTCGTTCTTGGCTTATCTTCTCTAATGCTTCACCTAGAACGATATTTGCATATAATTTCTCTGGTGATCTTGTATCTCATTATCCTTGGGGGTCAAGCTTAAGAACACAGATTAACAGCCCAAATATGGCTTCAGATCAGATCTAGATGATCTGCAGTAGCAAACCTATTGAGTAAGGATATATAAGCACCTGGGTACTTGTATTTCTGTTTAAATAGTTGAGTAAATGAAGAAATACATTGGTGTCTTTATTTATGGTCTTTTTTCAACTTATTTGCCCAAGTCACAAAATATCGTGTCCACCCAACACCAAATACCCCCTATAGATATGGGATCGCAAAAGCAATTTGCGGAAAAGCTGGATCCACGCTGGTCTCGGTTTCTAGCTAAATCATATCATCAAACTGGGCGGAGTCGACAATCCGAAAGCCCAGAAGACCCCCAACCTCTTTTGGGTTGAGATAGAGGAGCGACGAAGGACCCTCTGGACTGCCTATGCCCTGAACCGGTATGTTATACTCATCACCAATCTGCCACTCAATCTGGATAACCACATGGTAAGCTCATGTATCTGTTAAATCGCCGGCTTCCGTGTCTTACCATAGACTGATATCAATAGATTCCTACCCGTCTTCCTGCTCCAAAGGCGGTCTTTCAACGTCAGCGGGCAGTCAAGGGGGAATCCATGGCCCTAGCCATGATTCGAAGCAATGACCAACATCTATCACCCTACGCCAAATCCATCGTCATCGTCACAATACTAGCACGCTGTCTCTCCCATCGCGACCAGTGCAAAGTCGAGCGAATCGTAGAACCATCATCAGAGGACTTGCGCACCTGGCATAAAACACTCGAAACCATCCTCAATCAAGAAATCTAAGGGACAATGACTGGTGCCCCTTCTGACATAAAATCAAGTGACCCCACTTACATCTTCATCGACATGCTTGCGCAAGTTGCTGTGCTGGTTCTTTTCACCGTGCTGAATTCAACGCCCCTTGACACAGATCCATACCATGACACCTTCAGGGAGTACGAGAAGAAGGCTTCCGGGGTAGCGGACATGATTCACAGCCTGGTGTAGAAACTGCCACACGGGTTGCCTCAAGGTCAGAACCCCCTTGTTGCGTGCCTTTTGGATATCCCTCACCTATAGCCTCAGATATAGCCTTTCACGCTGATTGCATTGTTCATTTGTGCCGAATTCACGCACTCGCACAAGACACCCAATCCAAATCACGCGGCGCAGCTAAAGACTATCTCTGCGAGTCTACGGCAGCTATCGCCGGCTAATAAAACTCGCCTAATCGCTGGAAGTTGAGATCCAACGAGATCCCGAGACTGTTGGTACAACCCGGGGCATATAGTTTGCGCTTTGGGTTTTGATTTTAAAACGACTACCATGACCAAGACAAGATAGGACGTGGTATTGATTATGTCTGATTCACTTTGTATAGTGATGCCAGTTTGCGACATAGCGACTGGTCCAAAAAGGGGCTTTTTTGCACTTAATGTCTTTGCAAGACCTTGAGTATCTTGATCAGGATTTTGTGGATATGTACTTCTTCCACTACAGATATTTCTGAATATGACATGTAAATAGACACGTCAGGCTATAAGAATTATGGTTCATTCTTTCCTCCTTTCCTTCCTCCGACTACCCTTTCAGACACCGCTTCTCTTGCTAGGTCTCTTGAATTATGCTGGCCTCAGTCAGTGAACAAAAAAAAAAACACGACGAAACGTCAGCAGATATCACGCGTCGGACTGTAATTAGGTAGGACGCGATCATGCATGTAGAATCTCGGCGGTCGGGACCCCGAAACGCAATATCGTCCAGTACGAAACGCGAGTCCATGACGCCTTGACCGTGCATATTAGCTGTTCATGCGTAACGAGTAAGAAATTAGGCTACATCCAACCAACAAATATTCCTTTGCCGCATTTTGTACAAAGTTCTTGATCGACAAAGTAAGCCCGACTCGGGGGCTGTGTATACCCCGACTGCTTATGTCCGAGAACGGTGTATTTGCCCCTTTGGGATAAGCCGATTCGACCTACTCGATGTATATAACGGAAGCCCTACAAATGACAACAGGGCATTCAATTTCTGGCATCCCAGTTCTCAATAACATCTCGATTTACTTTATTACAAGCTATACAAACCAATATCCCTTTTTCTCACATTATAATCTCAACAAGATACCCAAAATGATCTCAGACGAGAAGCCCCCGTCCTTCGTCTCCGTCGAGGCCCCCACCGAAAAGCCAGCGTAAGTCCTACCGTCAGCTATTCTATATCTCATCTGGTGCATTATACAAATTCTGACAAACCCCGCGTGGTATAAGACCATGCACCGTCCACGGTCCCTCCCAGACCCCGCATCTCGACCGCGAACTCCAGCAGCCCTACGCCCAGGCTATGATCCAGGCCCTGACAGCTGCTCTCAACGACCTTACGGATGAGAAGAAGTGCACACAATGCTCGCTGGAGAGATCTTCTGCTCTTCTAACTAGCCATGTGCGGGAGATTCAGGCCATGAAGAAGAAGGAGCAGTGGTCGAAGGGGGAGAGGAAGGCGCTCAAGGCGGAAATCAAGACATCATTGAAGGGTGTGAGGAAGGATGCGAAGACTATGTGGAGGGAGGGAATGGGCGGAAACTAGATTCGTCTTTGTTGATATATACTGCGCTTGGGTTTTTCATGACGCGGAGGTTGGGTTTGGTTTATTCATCGCATACAATAGAATAATGTAATGTCTGTGGGTCTTTTATTCTCCCTATTGCGGCGCGGATCCTGTCCATTGGGATCAGGGCGCGGTAGTCCACTTTATGTGTGTATTGCGAGTAGGAAGCCGGGTCGTCTGAGCCGAAGAGCAGCTGCCGCGTTCGGGACTTGAAACCGTCGGCGGCGATGACTGTTTGTCTCGATTAGGTAGGTAATATGCTGGAAGAACGATTGAAGATATAGGAAGGAGGCCAAACATACCAGCATCTGCCTACGTACTCGTCCCATCAGCAAGTTTCAGGAACACCCTCTCCGACCGCGCATAACCCTCGATGGTATCTAGCTTCTTCTGTAATTGTACCACACCGTTCGGAATAACCTTGTCAAGACCATTTAGGAAGTGACCCCGTCATACACGTTCCCCACCCCTTTACATCCGCGTCCAACTTCAACAGCGACTTCTAGTGCATCGTATCATCCTCCCGTTGCTACCCGTATCCATCGATATAGCGTAGATAGGATTTGGTATCATGTTGGTCGAACGAGACGCTGACGGCGCCCCTGGAGCGCAACGCCTTTACAGTCCCCGAGTTGACCTTCTCCATGCAGCGCACTGTGTTGGCCATGAAGCTGAGTCCGGCGCCATGGATAGTGGCCGAGTTTCCGCGTCCATTGCAACGTTGGCTTGATGGAGAGATACTCTTGGTCGCTTATGATTTGCTGGTTAGGAGTTACTTTACTGTCTTTGCTGAAGGTACTCGAGCACCTGGATAGTACGTGTCACTGAAGACGGGTGGCGGCGTGATCGCCGTAGCCCTAAATCAATCTGGTTGGTTTCCCGACATCTCCGACGTTACCCCCGAGCAGCGCCATGTCCGCCCCGATCTATAAAAATCATCTCCTTCTATCTCACTTGAAGTCTCCCCTGAACCCAATGGTAAAAAATAAAAACACTATGAGCGATTCAAACGGCGAGAAATCTCGAATTGGCCCCAACCCTGAAATCCCGCCGCAGCCCAAGCCTGCCGCAGGGTTCTCTCCACCCCCCGATGGCGGCCTGTTGGCATGGACGAACGTCCTCGGCAGCTTCATACTCTACTTCAACACTTGGGGCATCCTCAACACGTCCTGGGCGTACTAGACATATTACGAATCTGGGGCTCTCTTCGCGGCCAATTCCTCCAATATCTTCTGGGTCGGCTCGATCGCGGCCTTTATGCTCCTCTTCGTGGGTCTCTTCGTCGGTCCCGTCTACGACAGGGGACGCTCCTCCTCCCACTGGCGGTCATGCAGCCTCGTGTCCAACCGCCCAAGGCCCGCGCCATGATTGATCGGACGGCGCTCACAGACGTCAGCTACATGGCGTTTGTATTGAGCTCACTGATCATCTATATGGGTCTCTTCGTCATTCTATTCTACTTTTCGTACTACTCCGCCGCAAACGAGATCACAGACGAGTCTCTCGCGTTCTACCTTGTACCCATCCTCAACGCGACCTCCATCTTTGGCCGAACCATCCCCAACAAGCTGGCTGACAAGACCGGCCCGTTCAACCTGCTCGTCCCGGCTTCCTTGATTTCCGGTCTACTCATGCTGTGCATGATGGCCGTGAGCTCCAAGGGCACGATTGTTGTGATGGCGCTGCTGTCGGGCTTCATGAGCGGGGCGCTTATCGGTCTTCCGCCCGTGTGTCTGGCGATGTTGACGGCGGATAAATCGCGGCTCGGAATGCGCATCGGAATGGGGTATACGATTATCGTGCAGGTCGTGTTGATCAGCGGGCCCAGTAGTGGTGCAATTTTGCGGAATGGGGGCGCCTCGCTCGATTGGCGGAGTTTGTGGAAATTTGGAGGCGTGCCGACTTGTGTGACGGGGTTGATATATGCTGCAATTCGGATAGCCAAGTATGGACCTGGTCTTATGGTTAAGGCGTGAGACTTTGATCTCTTGTGATGAGACAAAGAATGAGAGAGGCAACCTCCTAATAGTATTGCAAGTCTTATAAAGATTACAGGTATAACTCTTTCGTCCAGGGGAGCCAGCCACACTCGTTTCAGCGAGTTTGAGGGAGGAGATGTGTCTACAGATGTGATTGAACCCTGTCAGCATTAAGTATTGAGCCAACCCAACCACGATGGGCTGGATACTTACCCCGCGCCAGGGTCAAGAATTTAAGGAAACGCCGATGGCTTTCTTTACTCATTCTCCTCCGCCCAGCAACATTACATACATCTACCTTATGTAAATGTTTAATGGAATATACAGTCTAAACTAATATAGTCCAACTAGATCAAAGACTCCACTTCCATCATGAGCGAAATCCTCGTCATAACCTGCCCAAGCGGCAAACAGTGCTCCCGCCTCATCCCCCTCCTCTACAACAAAGGCAAATTCACCTTGCGACTGGCAGCACACTCGAAGGCGTCCGCCAACAGACTCAAAGAACGCTACCCAGATGCCGAGATTATAACAACAGACCTGCAGTCTCTCCCGGACTGCCGCAAACTCTTACAAGGCGCAACGGCCATCAACGCCGTTCTCCCCAGTCTGCACTCCCACGAGAAAGAGATTGGATTCAACCTGGTCGACGCAGCAGTCGCCGAGTCCAGGCGCCAGGGGAACGTTTTCAAACATTTCGTGTTCTCGAGTGTGCTCGGCACGCAGCATCGAAGCCTCCTACAGCATGACCGGAAGAGCTACGTCGAGGAGAGGCTCTTTTTGAGTCCCTTGAACTGCTGGACTATTCTCAAGCCAACAAATGTGCGTGACCTCGAACATGGCTATGCTATCTCCCCACCTCAAACCCACAATCTACTAGATGCTGACAGAGTGGGACAGTTCATGGACGCCTACCCCGTGGCCGCCCTCGCAGAGCAAGAGCACCCCGTTCTGGAAAAGTGGTGGAACCCCGAACACGCGAACAGCGTCATCGCTCTGGCGGATCTGGCAGAGGCATCTGCCAAGGTCCTTCATGAAAGAGAGCGCCATTACCTCGCCGAGTATCCACTGTGCTCGACGATGCCCATATCGGAGACGGACATTATCGGCGTTATCGAGAGACGCATCGGGAGGAAGATCCTGCTCCAGACGCCTTCATTCGAGACGGGCGTGAGCAAGGTGACCAAGGGGCTGCATGGTGCGGACGAAAAGGACGCCGGCGAGCTCGGGCTCGGTTCGGCGAGTGAGGGAGACCTTCGTGGCGATCTTGTCCGTGATGCGGTGGAGCACTTGATTTTGTTTTATAATCGGCGGGGGTTGAAGGGGAGTCCGAATGTGCTGAGGTGGGTGCTGGGGAGGGAACCGACGTCTGTTGAGCAGTGGGTTGACTCTGTTGCTCCGAAGTGAGAAGACTGTTTTCTACGGTCGACGTAGTCTGGGTTTATGAGCAAGGTGTGCAATGCAACATCGATAAACTTATTATTGCGATTCCTTGTACAGTGAAGCTGAAGCCATGTGCCTTTTATGGCCCTGACGAACAGTACCCAATAAGTCAATAGGTCCATGTGCATACTCCCTACACTGTCACATATGTAAATATTCAATAGTGGTATATGCATATGCCGTCTACATAGGAAGCTCCAAGTTACGCCAGGTTAAACCTGGAATGCAGGAAGAGGATCGATAACAGAGATTAGTCAAACCAATCCTGACCACATGCCAATTTGATATATTGATGCTGCAGTTTTCTCTCGGACGATCTCTGGTCAAAGCCACAGCAGGGTAGGTGACTGCGCCAACCGCCCGCGTGCAGACGTCGTGGGGAAAATCGGGTTCCAGTTCATCTCCTCCATCTCCGTCGCGGGTTGCCACCCGTTCCTGACCAACGAGACAGCCGTTCCCGAACTGCGCGCCAATATTATCTCCGATTTCGAGCCGGCCTTCTATAATTTTATAGTTACCCCGAGGGTTGTGTCAGATCAATTAGAAGGCAGCCACCAATCGCCCCCACTCGCGTCAGCCTCGTGGATCAATCAACAACTACGGCTATGCAATCGATGTTAATACTCCACAACTCGTTCACTCACGGCAGCCCGCTCCGTCGGCAGAGGACATTCCTACCCCAGCCAATAATGTCGTCCCCGAAAAAAACGGTGGAGCCTTGATCTGTCGGGGATCAGCAGCTTGAGCCAACCGCTTCGAGTCATCGCAACCCCGGCCGCCAGTTGCGGTGCGGACGCAGTATCCTCGGTCTTCTCTTCAGAATGGCTTTGGTATTATTGAGTGCGTCCCAGAGCAGCAAGCTCCAAGACCTGCTGTGTGCGCATATTATGTCTCTTAGGCTCGTGTAAATCGGCTCTTTACAGCCCTGCCGGCTTTCTAATTAGTGCATCTTGATCTTTGACGATGCGGTGAATGACCAGTGCCAGTACGTAGTCATGGTGGACGAGCGATGGGTGAGTCTAATTCTGTGAGCGAAATAACTTTCTCTACTCACTCTCTCAAAGTAGTGATATTTGGATGAGATAGAAGGAAGGTCTCACAGCTTTTATACTGACACTCTCACCTAATTAGTTTGCCAAGGGTATGACCATGGTACAGTCTTTCTATTGTAGTTGGTCCAATTAGGGCTTCTCTCAGGTTAACATGTTCAAATGCCCGCAAGGCGCAAGGAAGTAGCTTCCTTGGCTTTAGCTCGAAGACAGCGTGGCTGAGTTGATCGAATGTCTTGGAAGAGCAAATATTGATACAGCAGTCCTTGCTCAAACAAGTAGATGATTTATGCGGTACATATATGCCTTGAATGGTGGTGTTGACTCCATACTGTTTACTCAGTGAATGCAAATCGCATCCTGAGTCATTGATATGGCTAAATATTAGGGTTTCCCATCAGAGATCAGAGTCATCACTGTCCGGTAGTGCGAAATATGGATGCTCAAAATTCGCTGGTGGCATAGAGTCCCCCTGGTAGAACGACAACCTGGTTGGTGGCCAGCTGTCGTATGCAAAGTCGACCCCGGCGTCAGCAAACAGAGACCTCACAGCATCTTCCGCATGCAACTTGGTATTTCTGTCCCATCTCACCTCCTTCAGGTTCTGGAATTGTTCTTTAACAGCCTCGCTAAGACCAAGCAGAGCCTTTTCCAGCCGCGGAAGATCCTTGCCAATACGCCCAGCAAGGTGTAGGGAGCCAACGCCGGAAGGGAGAATTTGGACTAAGATCTGGGAGTCATCCGTCCAACGATGCATGAAAAACCTGCTGTGGAACTCGTCCAGGTTGAGAAAGAGGTGTTTCAGGGCCGTAAGCTCTCGAAAATTGAAAGCGCTCGGGGTGGCGGGGTCCCCTCCCCGGTGCCGGAGATCGACATGCACCGATTTGAGTGTTTTGCGGTGGCGGCTGAGATATCTTGCAGCATTGTGGAGCTGGAAATGATCGCTGGAGTCCCATTGCCCTTCTGGCCCGCCATCGCCGAAGTGAACCCCCGCCTCGTACGTGAAGCTGCATAGACCGTCACAAGAATTGAGTATGTTTTCAAGGCCTTGCTCGTTGAGGCGACTGGACGTGATTCGAACATGCCTAAGTCTCGGCAAAAAAGGCAATGCGGCCCGTTTCCGAGTACCATAGTACTTATGGAGAGTACCATAGCACTTATGGAGGTTAAGCGTTTCAAGGTACGGAGAAACATCAAGGAGGGCCCTGGCATTGTAGTCAAGATCAAAATACCTCTCAGCAGTGCGTAGCACCGAAAGATTTATAGTCCGCAGCGGCAGTTGTGAGATCCCGGCGGCCGATAGGGTTGCAGCGTCAACAGAAAATATGTCAGAGTCTGGACCAAAGAAAAGGCTGCAATGTTCCAGCTTTGGTAGTGCCGCAATCAAAAGAGTAATTAAGTCTTTGGCTGACAGTCTCTTGGGCTCTTTGATTTTTAAAGCAACGGCAATCTCGCGGAGAGTGTCACAAGCTTCCGCTCTCAATATGGACTGTCTCAATTCTGGCTGTGGCTGGTCACAGCAGGTATTCAGGCCACAATAGGCTCGCAGGGGGCTATTATCAACGTCAGGCGGACGCAGACCCTTCCCATTCGGCGTCCGAGCCCGTGTCTTCCCTTCCTTTAACAACCTTTGACGGTCTCTCTCCTCCTTTTCCAGGGCCTTAAGAGAAGCTTGGAGCAGATGTGGCAGTATATGAATTCTCTTCACGAACCCAGCCAAGTCTCGGCGCCGAGCGACTGTTTGCAAGAACGAAAGAAGCCGGCCATCCCATGTATAAAGCTCTGAGCGCCACGAGTCGCCATACCCGAGCATAAACTCACTATATAAGATAGGTTGAATGGCGCTGCACAAGCGCTTGGAAACCAGGCAAAGGGAGAGAAGCGGCTGTAGTCTTAATGAGTACCAAGATGGCCGGTCGCACATCTGCCGAGAATAGCGAAAGTGGGCATCTGGCGGTTCTAATTTGTTTGAGTCGCGGCGATCAATGTCCAAATGAGCCAGTGTCATATGTAGTACCTCAGGGGGAAGGTGGTCCAGTGCCGGCGACATCATGCTGATGTTAAATTGAGAAATAGAAAAGCCATTGAAGAGATGAGCCCGTGAGATGCTTGAATGCCTCAGAGATACAGCCAATGGTCAATTCCGTTTCAATGGTTCCAATTGGACTGCGATAAGCCTAATTCCTACTGGGCATTCCACTGAAGGAACTAGATGCCGGACTCACAAAAACATCAGAAACGCATGAATGAGTCGACGGTACAACAGGTAAGGAAAATGACATGATTGTTTAATCAGAAGAACTAACTAAACTGCTGGTTCCTTCCGCCCACATGACTGGAGTGAAACTACATCCACGTGAAAGGAACCCCGGAAACCAGAATCCTCAATAGAGCCAATTATCATGGAGATTGATATCATATCCCCACATCTCCCGAGGCCGATCCGTGGTTGGATCCAGATCTGTATACCTGAGATCATGGTGCATTCTGCAGTGGAGATGATACGGAAGCCAGAATCCGAGTGGCTACAGGGAATTAATATATCAATTGTCACCGCTAAGACAATGTATATCATCGGGTATTGGTTTGTGAAGCTGTACTTCCTATTAATCCTATCACTGGACTTCCTCACTGTGCTGTATAACATCCACTCATCAGTGATTAGACCCTTGTTTTTGGGGGTATATATACCTCGATTTTCTTCCCACTGTTCCTCTTTTCACACATCTCTCCACCTATCTTGATCTTTGATATCCACCATCTCTCCACACATCTAATAGCTATATTTGATACTATCAACAATATCAACAAGAAAAAATCAACGAAACTGTGACGAAATGGCACCCGTCGCCATCTCCCCCGAACCCGTCCCCATCACCAAAAGGGACGGCCATGCTCTCGAAGACCTCTCCGACGCCATTGACGATGTTAATGTTCTCAAAGCAGCGCTGCACAAGAACCTAGACGGAAAAGACATATACGACGCCTCCGAATTTGATCAACACAAGGACAAGTCCCAGTTCCGCCAGTACGAGAACGCCTGCGATCGCGTGAAATCTTTTTACAGGGAGCAACATTTGAAGCAGACCGTGGCTTACAACCTAAAAGCGCGCAATGATTTTCGTTCGAAGGTCCGCGCCCATATGACTATATGGGAGGCGATCGAGAAGCTCAATACTCTGATTGATGAAAGCGACCCCGACACCAGCCTCTCCCAGATCGAGCATCTCGTTCAGTCGGCTGAGGCCATCCGCCGCGATGGCAAACCCCGTTGGATGCAGCTGACGGGGTTGATTCATGACCTGGGCAAGCTTCTCTACTTCTTCGACGCGCAGGGACAGTGGGACGTTGTGGGCGATACTTTCCCTGTTGGTATTGCGTACGACGAGAGAATTATCTACGGACGGGACTCGTTCAAAAACAACGAGGACTATGGGCACCCAATCTATGACACCGAATTTGGTATCTACAGCCCCGGATGCGGCATGGATAATGTCATGATTTCTTGGGGTCACGACGAGTACCTCTACCACGTTGTGAAGAGCCAGTCTACCCTGCCGGACGAGGCGCTCGCGATGATCCGCTATCACAGCTTCTACCCCTGGCACAAGGAGGGGGCCTACCGCGAGCTGATGGACGATCACGACGAGAAGATGCTCAAAGCTGTGCAGGCTTTCAATCCTTACGATTTGTACAGCAAAAGCGACGAGGTTCCGAGCGTGGAGAAACTCAAGCCTTATTATCTGGAGTTGATTGATGAGTTCTTCCCGACCAAGGTGCTCAGGTGGTGAACATTCAGTACCTGGCTATTGATTTCTCTTGGATGAATCTCTTTTGGATTTATCTCCCTTGGGCTTGACACTGCAATTTGGCTTGTAAAACAGTGGAGGCTTTTTTCTCGTCTTTTTGGTTTTTTATTTTCCATTTTTCCTATCCTGTGTACACTGTCATCCATCTTCATGTCCCCTCCAAGTTGTCACGACTCCACGAATATCACGATTTAACGAATACAAATGTCTAGAACCAGATGCTTTTATTTACTACCAAATAAATCAAAATAATTCCGGCGCTGAGGCCGCACAATACAATCTATTCCAGCTGAGTAGTAGTAGTACAAATCCGTAAAATCGCCATGCATGACATCAACAATAATCTATATATAGCTATCTAATCAGCGAGCTGTATTACATGGATATGTAATACCACCTCACATACTGCAGTGATAGTAGGCAGCACCCTTGCAGTATGCAGAGAAGTCGAGCTGACCGGCTGGACGTTCGGGATCAGGTTTCCGCTCTCGTTCTAGATTCGGATCATCAGATCTAGATGCGGGGCTGATCTATCAGTAAGTAGGCAGTAAGTACAGCTGGTGGGGAGTACAGCATACTGTAGATTTCTATTGCCGTTGTCATCGGGTATGGAGCAACAATGGTATTGTTTAATTGTAATATGTAATTTATAGGTTTTTAGGATAATTCTCGAGATAGATATACAGTGGGTGAAATCACTAGCTCGGGAATAGTTGGCATATGAAATTAAAGATACTTAGTATATTTATTAGCTATTGAATTATGATAGTACAAAAGCCTCATATCATTCTATACATGTCTCTCCTTTATTTAATATATACCTGTTGTTGAATAGCCTTGGAATAGTATCGAATACCTATCATATCAGAAAAGTCCATGAGACATAGTGACTTGAAATCACATCCCCCTCCTACCCCTAATAAGCTATTCAAGGATGTGAATGCAGGAACTGTCTCATGTCTAACTAGTCTTTGATCCTCGACCATTCAATACCCAGTTACTCCCCATATTAAAAATACCCTCTAGCTTGTTATGACACCACCCTTCTACACACAACACACGCCGGTTTGATATTGAACAGTTTATGTATACACCGCTTGAGAATCTGTAAGTACATCACAAAAAAATAAAGCTATAATAATAGCAGCAGTAATACCATTATTAACGCAAGGAAAATAAAATGGGGGATAAGTTGTTTGATGTCTCGGTACTCCGTAGATACTGCGGCATTCCACCATCTATCTCCCTCGGAAACTGGATACCGGATTTTTGGACTGGATTTCCCACCCCACTCCAGTAAAGTGCGATGCTTGAATCAATCTCAGATCAATATACATAACTGGCTAGTTGGAAAGAAACACGACAATCAGTGTTATGCTATTGGATACTTATGCAATCACCAGTACAGCACCCTCCTCATCGACCCGTATTCCACATTTGCACTCAAAAAAGCAGATAAAGAAGCTTGGGAATAATCTGAAAGAAGAAAAAAAGAAAATAGAGACACGCCAAAGAAACCTCACTTGACTTATAAATCTGCATAATGAATGCCGTCTGAATCACTCCGCTTCGGCTTCCTTCATCGCCGCCTTCTTCGCCTTCCTTTTCGCGGCCGTATCCACAGGGTCCATGTATCCCTCGCCCTTCAACCAAGTCAAGGCCTTTCTCACCCCGCGGCCTTGAACGGCTGACGGTCGTGTCTCCAGGATCGCGCCCATGATGGCCCACGCGATCACAAGGACCCACAATTCGCCGCCCTTGCCGGGCTTCCACAGGCCGCGCTTGGCTCCTGTCTTCCATGCGGAATCCACCGCTGCGCGGAAGAAATACAGGGCGACGCTACGGCTATTGCCCAGGAATGCGAACGGCAATCCGGCAAGCGCTCCGCTTAGGAAGAACCGTTTCGTCGGCAGGGTCGCGCGCGGCAGAATGGAGTTCCAGAGACAAACGCTACCCCACGCGGAACCAACAGAGGCGGAAAGAATGGCGGTCAGAGTGATGATCCTCTTGGACACACCGTTGATGGAAGAGATGGGATTGCTCATAAAGGTCTTGAACTTGAGCACAGACAACGCCAGGGTCACGCCGGTAAGGAAGCGAGCCGCGCGGGGCACGGACAGGAGGATGTGGTGCAGGAACGCAGTTCCGCAGCTCGGGCTGCTGGGATGAAGCACTGCGCAGGACAGGCGGTCGATCAATGGATGAGCCGGGCCCGTGATGGGAGAGATGGACTTGACCGCTGCGGGTAGGGTATTCGGATTTGCAGGATGCAAGATAGGGGACACAAATGCTCTAAGCCAGTGTTAGACTTGGATACGCTCTTCCTTGAAAATCGGACTGCATGGGTAGCATAGAAAGAACGTACGGCCACTTGAGATTGGCAACAGTAGCCAAAGAATCCACAATGTCCTCCTTTTCGGGCCAGAAAACCTCCGCAGGCAGCGACTCCGGACGGTCGGGTATATAACTGGGCGAGAGCCTAAAAATGACGTTTCCAAACCACTGGATCCACGTTAGCCTACACCGTCGGGACACCCAAGGAATGGATCCAACCCACATTCGGTGTCGTCTCTCGATCGAAGACAAAGGCATGGAACAGCTGTGCGCACGAGAGAGGCATCAACAGCCAGCTGCCAAACCAAGACGGGCGATTATCCAGGTACCCCTTCTCGTCCCCCACGTTGAACAGGAACTCCAAACTCCGAGTTCCAGTGTAGATAGCCAACGTCAACCGTAGCTGCTCCTGGGGCGCAATCCCCAGCGCAAACCCCGCAACACTGGCCCCGACGACAGGCGCATATCGTGAGGTCAGTGCCTTCGACACGCGAGGGTTGCGAGTGCGGAAAGGTTGAGCCTCCTCGGTACGGAGGTTGGCGCGTAGTCGCACAAAGAAACGATGCAGCAATCGGTGGAAGAGAAGGACGAGGGATAGGGAAAGAGACAGTCGGAAATTCGGGGAGCGGATGAGGGAGGTTCGTGGACCCTTTCTGCAGTCGCCGATCCAGTATTAGCTTACACTTTTTCCAGTGAAGTTCATCTACCGCCACGGACTGGAAGAACTCACTTGGACTGGTCGCCTCGAATCCGGCTGAGGATCAACCCGGCCAGCTTGAACAGAGCGCCGGACACAACAAAGACGCGAAGCGAGGTGCGCAAGGCCGCTTCATTGTGTCTATTCTTGGAGCGGACAATCGCCTCGAACTTGGACGGCGGGGGAAGTTTGCTCTGGATAGCTGGAGCTCGTCGGGTCGCAAGGTCGTAGAGCAACCGGTATTCCTTGGCGCTCAGGGAAATGCGGAGGGCGTTGCGTGCCGCCGGATGCACGTCGGCGTCGGCCGGGGGCGCAGAAGCCATGGGAGGCTGTTAACCCGGGAGAAATCTGGGGACTGAGTGACAAATGAGTTCCCAAGTTGAAGCAGATGACCTCACATGCTGAGATCAAACGAGTGAGGAAGAGAAAGAGGAAGCGGGAAAGAAGGCGCGAAGGGTGGAGAAAGGTGGTTTGCCCGTGACCTCGGCTAGTGCACGTCACCACGTGGATCCTCTTATATAGTTGTTTCTACTCCATCCATCTTGCATATCATTCGGGGTGATATTTGGTGGATCGGATTGAAAGTGGTATAGATATCGTCGGTAATATTTGACCATGAACAAAAATCTATCGATTGTTCATCCTTCCCTCCAACAAATGGTAGGGTAAACACAGGAATCGATCAGAGTAGGTACTTCTACAGAAGAATAACAACTAAAAACAATCAAAGGACATTCCATGCCATGCAAAATCCATCATATCGCAAAGTACGCCATCGTAGTGAAAGCAAACCAGGAATCATCAACAGACCATGGGAGATAATAAACACAGAAAAAATAAGAAAAAGTTCACCAGAAACTGCACCATCCAATCCAGTGTTGACATATATTCTCAACACTCGTTGCCTGTGCCAGCAGCTTGTCAACCTGGTCGCTGATATTGAGCTCTTCGCTGGCCCGGAAGTCCCGTCCAGTGAGCTTCTCCCGGACCCGCGCCAGAACCTGTAACGCCCGCGCATTCTGCGCTTCACGAGCTTCGTTGGGGACACCTTCCTGGGCATCCAGGATACCACCTTCCAGGATGGAGGGTCGGCGATGACGCGAAAAGTTGCTCGGTTGCACGCCTTGTTCCGTATTAACATTAGAGACAACCGACTGTCGGCGCTCGGCGCTGAAGGGCATGCGGTCGGGCGACTCGCGGATCCCCAGACGCCAGTTGATTAAGGGGTCGTGGATGAACTGTGATCACATCATGTTAGCCTCGTGACCACGCAAGAAACGATTTGCTTGAAACTTACTGCTTCCAACACCGCCATCAGAGAATCCTTGTTCTCCCTCAGAACGCGCATCACAGCCTCACACGTGATCCGGTAGCTTCCCTCGATATTGCTGACTTCCATCGCAAAGGTCAACATACGGGTCAACCGGAAGGGCACCCTCTCCGGGTACTTCTCTCGGTGCATCGCGACTTCAAAGCAGTCACCGAAATCAATGTGAACAACCCTGCCGGTAATTCGGTCGAGCAGAAGATTCGACGGGTGGCGATCACCCAGACCAAGAATGTAGCCGACCATGGACATGACACCGAGGGATCGGGTGTAATTCGTCCGACGCTCTAGCCACGACTCAGAACTCTTACTCTTGAGCCACAAAACCCGGTATAGATCCTTCCCGGTCGTGTTATCCATAGCATACCCAAACACTTCCACCTTTTGCATAAGCGTGAGATTGTCGTAGTCCGGCGCCATTTGCAACATTATGCGGTGCTCAATGTTCAGCAAGATACGGCGACTCTCTCGGTATTCCTTGATCAGCGCATGCAACGTGTCGCTGTTAGAGACCCATCCCAAGAGACCGGAGCTCTGTGACAGCGGGATGGCCGGGAATCGTTGTACAGACAGGTGGCGCTTGAAGCTTTCTCCGTCGTTGTCCAGCAGAGTATTGACAAGGCCAAACAGCTGCATCACTCGCTCATCCTGTCTGATATCTTCGTGTCCCTTTAGAGCATACATGTACGAATTGCCGTCGCTGCCCTTGAGCGTCATTCTCCTGGGGCGCTTCTTGGTCTGGAGGACATGCAGGATAGGATCGAAGCTGATAATCCGGATGATCGGCCTGCCCGTCTGGTAAGTTCCAGGAACGGCAAGGGCTAGGTCCACGCAATCCTTCAGTCTAGGCGAGACATATTTCAAATCCAGAGTGGAGAGCTGTGGAAGCTGCCGGCTGATCTTTCGGAAAACAGTGTAATACAGATCCCAGGCTTGATTGAGATCCCCAATCTCCTCGGTCTCGCGGTAGAGCATGCAGTAATGCTTGGCCTCTGCCAAATCACGCCCAAAGGCTTGGGCAAAGGATACCTCGCGCAATGTCTCGGCACCCTTGTCTAACATTTCGTGTAGCGGCGCAAGTGCTGCAAACATCCCTTCCACGTTGTGGTCACCAAAGTATAGTCGGGACGCCTCTTCGAGGCCTTCATGCCAGAGCTCGTGCCACAAAACGGCAACCCTGATCAGCTCATGACTGACAAGATCGGCTTGTTCGACTAATTTGGGGCTATGCTGTCGCATATTGTCCATGATACTAGAGGCAGATTGCGAGCGCCGGGTAACGTTGGACTTCATTGCAACCGTCAAGGGATACACCAAAGCCTGGGGATGGACTTGACCAACTTCCGCGAGTAATCGATGGACGGCGCTCCGGACCCTGAAATTCGGCTGGTTGATTCGTGCAATGAGCTGGGGTGTAACTGCGAGCCAGGTGTCGATGTTCACCGCGGTGAATCCTTCCGTTACAACGGCATTGACCTCTTGGTCGCCACCGTGCGTAAACCACAAAGTAAGCAATCTCAATGTATCTTGCAAAGATGACGTCGAGGACAGTCCGATAGATCGAAGGAAGCCACGAATAGCGGGAATGACATGCTCAGTCACAATATGGCCAGGGACCATTGCCATTGTCGCACCGTCTCGGTTGGCCTGGCCAGCGATTGTCGTGACGACTTCAAAGTTGGCAAGTGCCCAAGAGTGCCAGGCCTTATAGGAATCACGATTGTACTTGGTCGCTGCAGAGTATGCATTAAGGACCTCTCGGACATGCTCCGGCTTCCAATCGCCGCGCTGCAGCGTAGTTTGCCATTCGCCCTGTCGGAGGTAGCTCTTCGCAAGCAGCCTCCGGAACTTGGCCACATCTCCGATGCGCTCACGTAGCCCGATAACATCTACATGGCCAGCATCGGCGATACCATTCACGCCGTTTATACCACCATGTTCGGTCTGAGAAATCATTAGGGTATTGAACCGCGCGAAGTCTTCCGTGAGGTTCGTGGTAAACTCCTTCAGCATCTGAAGGGCATCAGGTTGGCGTCCGGTGGCCCAGCTAAACTTCAGTCGGGCGTATGTGACTTCAGGGGGAGCAATGGCCCGTGTGCCGTTGCTGTCAGAGACAACGGTTTCCAAAGACGCCAGCGACCGCTCGGCAAGACCCATTCGACTGGACTTTCGGCACAAGTTCGCGAATTTGATCCACATGTCGAGATTCTCGCGAGGTGATGTGACAAGTGCTCGGACCTTGAGCATACGCTGCCACACTTCGACGTTTTGTTGACAACCAAGCAATCTCTTGTTCCATGTTTTGCGCATCGAATCCTGTTTTTCAGGGTCGCCAATGTTCTGCTTGTATGTGATGATCTCTTCCAACTCAGCAAGCATTTGGACACGGACAACGACGTTGTAGGCACGGTTGTATGATTCTCCAAGCAACGCGGACAGTTCGGTATCAAGCCCTTTTCTGGCCTTTTCGATGTACATTGTCGCCTCGTCAAACTGATTCCTATAGATAGCAAGGATGGCACCGAAAAAGGAACGATCAGGCGACTGCTCTTTCATGACACCAAGGTAAGAATCCATCAGCTCCCACTGGCCTCTACCCCAGGCAGCAGCTGCAGCCAGAGGTGCAATGGCTCGCCGATGCTCCAGTGATGCTTGATTCCATTTTTCTTGGGCGAGATCAGACAGGACCTTCCATTCGCCAAGGGCGTGCAGACATCGCATTTTGCCCATTGTGACCCCAAAGGAGTCTGGATCGACCTTCTCGCGCCGCTTATAGGCTGCAAGAGCTTCCTCCCAGCGCTGTAGCTTCTCAAACCACGTCTCCTTAAGCTCTACGTCCCGATATGCTTGAGCTTTGCGAAGGATACCAATTGCAGCATCGGATTGTTGAAGCTGGTTGTTGATTGTGATCAGAGCCTCCACTGCGCCAGAGTTCTGATCCTGCTCAAATTCCAACTCCTTATAATGCAGAGCCTTAGCAAACGCATGGCATTTCGCGGCATACTTGCCTAGAGTGCGGATGTCGATCGGCAGAGCCTTGTCATCGTGTTCCATGAACTCTGCAAGATTGAGAAGAACCTGAAGGATTTCTGGAGGGATGTTTGGCGAAGTTAAAGCCTTCTCAATCGAGCGGACAAGCTCCTCTTGGTACTGATCATATAGCTCCGTCCAACATGAGACGAAAGCTGCATTGAACAGATCTCTGGCGAGTGGCTGGTAGATACCAGCCAAACTGGCACAAGCCCGTAAGGCAGGCGACGGTGATTCCTTGAGCAGCTCCACGCTGAATCGTCGGATCCACTCCTGCCAGTCTTCTCTAGTAGACTTCTGGGAAGCATCCCACGCATTCTTCAGATGTTGCTGGTTGACAACCATTTTCTTCTGGCCGATCTCCGCATAATTGGCGTCATCCGATGGAGCGGTGTAGCTCTCCTCGGGGTTCAGATCCTGTGGAATCGGGTCGCCCTTCTGTAATTTTGCCACAAGACTCTGGTAGGTGGCATGGTTTATCTGGTGCTGTTTCATAATTTTGCTCAGAAGCTGGATGTAGTGGCTGAAATCTTGGCCGAGCTGGAAGATCAAAGCACAGATACAGTCCAGAGCAGCTTGTCGCAGGGTGCGATCACTACCTGCAACAACACGAGACAAAGAATGAACCATCAAAGACGCAAAGTCCGAGACATTTACTTGACGTGAAAGTTTCGTCAGGCTCTCAATCGCAATTTTCCGGACGCTTGGTGGGTTCTGAGTTCGATCAAACAGACGCACGATAGCTGGGACAATCAGGTGCATATATTCCTCTCCGCTGGAGCCAAAGACCAAGAAAGTGTGGAGGATCCTTTCCGAGGGCTGTCGGCGTTGCGTGTGATCCTTATCAAGCGTATCAAGCATCTGGGGAATCAGGCCAGCCATGTATTTCTTGAATTCGCCCTCCAATGACTTGGCAATTGCTTCGACGAGCGACAAGATTGTGGCTTGCACTTGGTAAGATGCATCCCAGAAATCTTGGATGACTTCAATTATCTCGGGAAGGAAGGCACGGATATGCTGGCGCACAATGTTGACCAGGATTGCCATTTGGTTGAAGTAGGATTCAAGACGGCCGGGTGGGGATCCCCTGATGACCGATATGAAGCCTGGGATGATTTGCCCGAGAAAGGGTACACATTTGAGACCCAGCGTTTTGAATATTGTGACAATGGCATCGATCACCGCGGAATGGTATTGGGCCAACGAGTTTTCGCGTAGTATGTTCTGCATCAGCGTATTAATGACCACAGTTGGATAGTACTCCTCATTCGACGGCGTTAGGCCTTGCATGATGAGGGCTACATCCGAGACAGTTTGCACTTCATTGATATGGTGAATATCAGGTGCCGTCTCACTTATCTGTTGATACTTGTACGGGTCGAGGGCACCGAGAATTCCCAGCAATTTGATCGTCTCTTTGCGAAGAGACCCGGTTTGCTCCGTTTTGATGATGTTGATAAGGACGGCAAGAAGATGGGGGTATTCTAGGTACGGATCAATCACGTATCCGGAGTTGCTGGCCAACTGTCCAAGCGTGCGCAAGGCCGATTCCCGCTTAGCATGGGACGACAGGTCTTGCAACGAGTCCAAAATAATTGGCATCAGCTGAGGCAGGTAAACTTTCATCTCAGTACCACCAACATTGGCCAGTTCTCCGACAGCCTTCAAGGTAGTCGAGGCAACCCCTGGGTTGGCGTCGGTCGCTTTGGGGAGCAGGGTGCTGACCATCGGATCGACGTATGAGCGAATGAGCTTGGTCGCATTCGACACGAATAGAGTGATCAGCTGGGCACTCTCTTCCTTTTGCCGAGCAGTGTTGGCGAACCCGAGGCCAGTCAGGAGATTGACAAGCAACTTTCGTAGAGGTGGGAAGACATAGGCCGGGTTCACGCTCGAAAGCCGCCCGATTATGCAAATTGCAGCCTCGCGAACAGAGAAGACCTCGTCATTAACAGCAAGGAACAAGCAGCGGATATTCTCCGGTCGGGCAAGATGACGGTCGAATTTACGATCCAACGACCATAAGACAGTACGGCGAATGTCAGGATCCGCATCCCCAATGCCAACAGTCAAGAGTCTGTCGATGACTTCGCTGACAACCTGTATAGAATGGCTACTGGTCTGGTTGATGATTGGGTCGTGCACAAACAGCTGGCAGCAAGTAAGGGCGGAGGCTTTTCGTATCTCCGGGTTGTCACTGTCGACATAATTGATGGCGACGTCGCGCACGAACTCGTTCAAAATGTGACCCGAGAAATCGAAGCTTCCTAGGGTATGCAGGGCTAACGCGATTTCGGCATCGGATTGTAGCTCTTGGGGTGCAAAGTCCCTGGCGAACGAGGGAACTGGGGGAAGCCTACTCTCGGGACACCCTAGGGGCCTGAAAGGTGTCCCGTGAAGGATGAGACTGAGCATGTCTAGAAGTTTCTCCTGAATCGTAGGTTTGATCGGCGGGATATAATGGGCCATATCAACCAGCGCCTGTGTGAGTGATTCGCTCAGGCCGCATGCAAAGATTGGGTCGAGTAATGACTCCATGTACTTGCTAAGAGTCTGCCCTACAGCCAGGGACAGCATGCTGATACACTCAAACATCGGTGCTTCGTTCACAGTAGCTCGGCTTCGTCTGAGGTGGTGGTTAGTCAAATGAAGGGAATCACGAGACATAAATATCTAGCTTACGCTTTCATGGCCAGTCCCTCTCGTATGTAAATGATAATCCCATCGAGGTACTGCGCGATAGCGCCGCCGACCGCGTCCGCAATCTTGCCGATGGCTATGAATGCCGAGTTCCGCTCCTTATCCCTCTTGAGTTGTGCTTGTAGGTAGATCATAAATCGATGAAGGTAGATCTCTGTAAAGTCGGCAGGGGCGTACGAAGCCAGGATCGGTATCGTCAACACGACCTGGGTGCGAATCTTGGGGTCGCGATGATCCTTGAGGCGAAGGACGATTTCGCAGGCGTTTCTATAATGCTCGTTCATGAACATAGCGCCTTTCAGCAGAAGCTCTTTGAGAACCAGAAGGGAACCATGAATCCAGTCCACATTGGTGGACTTGAGACCATTCATGGCCTCATCGTGCACCTTTGCAAACCACGACTGTCGGACCTGGTTATCTCTCGCGGCGATGATCTCAAAGCATTCGCTAACGGCTTCCGCGGCGGTTTCCCGTATGATGACCTTCGGATCGCGAAGAGCGACCCAGATGAGCTCGAAGATTTGCGGAACAAAGCCGTACAGAAGGGTTGGGGAGCCTTTGGCGAGCTCTCGGACCACGAGCACGGCGCCGAACCGTCTGTTTTCCTGACGTTCGGACTGCAGCCATTCCAGCGCTGATTGGATCTCGCTTTCGACCAGCTCCGCCGTGAGAGCGCCGCCCGGCTTCGCCAGATGGCCAAGGCACCGGGCGGCGTAAATCAAGACGACATAGTCGGGGCTGCGGAGGGCGCTGCGGAGGTAGCTGGCGAACCGAGTCGTCTTCTGAGCGGCATCAACTCCATCAAAATCGATCAGGCGATCCAGCGCTAATAAACCACCGATTCTTTCGTTGGCGTCGGTTCCGGTGACGACGAGCTGCGCGATCCGTTGGCTGACGGCATTATAGAATTCAGTGAACTTCTCCGGAGGTAAATCTGAAATTCATCACACTAGCTGTTAGTCGAGTCCGAGCGGTAAATGAAGATCCAGATGATATATATACCTCGCGATACAGCGAGAACATTGTCGTAAAGCTCGTAAGCACCTCTCACCCGGGTCTCCTCGTTCTTGGACTTCAGGTCTTGGAAGAGCCTTTGGGTGAAATCGGTCAGGGGGCCTGTTTGCGCCATAATTGCGATTCACACCCCAGGGTGGACATTTGGTGTCAACCTCTAGGGCATGCACTATAGCACCGAGGGAACATGGAACGGAAAGGTTTCCAAGAGAGTGTGCGGAGGGGGATGAGGAAGCGGGCGTGAGCTTGAGCGATGTGGGAGGTGGAGATGGAGGTTGTTCGGGTCGTTGAGCCTTGCGGGAAGCATGCACGGACCAGGCACCTACTTTCTGCCTGGGGCATCCCACTTGAACATGAAGAGAATCTTCGATCGGTTTTCGATTCCTTCATCTCTCACCCTTGCTTATGATTCTACACACTCATTCTTTCTGAGACAGATAAAGAGGTTATGGAAATCTCATGACCACAAACAGTCAATCCCCGAAGACAATTCTAAGAACAACTGCCGGGGTTTCAAAGACAAACGAGACTTCTCTGCCCTCCATTGTCTGACTGTTCCCAGCGGTCAATGAATGCAAGGATCTATTTACTATTTACTCTGAATCCAGGCTGCAACGATATCCAACGTATAACAAAGCCACCCGTCGGTCGGGGACACAGGATTGCAAACACTATCACACGACTCAAGGCTGTACACATGTACGTAAGAAAGTGTCTCACACTTCATGCGACGTGTTGTACCAAAGTCCTTTTTGTTGTTGCAATTGGCATATGGTCAAGATGCTAACAACCTGAAGATCCGTAGGGCCTTTTTAGTCGGTCAAAGGATGATTTAATTGATTCCTTACAAGACTTACCTTAGTTCTCCAAGTGATAATCTCCGGATTGGGACGCATCTACGGAGTAGTTTACAAGGGTCCACTACAGAGGACATCTACTTTTGTTCCTTACTACATACGATCATGAGATCTCTAGCCAATTTTGAGGAGAATAGCTACTATTATATAGGTACTGAATTCGGGTATGGTATCGAATACAATGTATAACAACGATCCTTGAAGATTACCAGGTTCATCTACCGATGCATACAGTATATGACGGGGACCACCCATAAGGACCCCGCATTATAGTACTTTCCTACACTGCAATTCTACACCTAACTATTGACGTCCCCTATGCTTGCTAATCCCATGCCCTGTTGACGCAAAACGTCGCCATTTGTAATCCTCGTGGAGAGGATACCCTATCACATCCGCCCGATAACCTTCATGGTCCACCTGGGTGGGGAAATTTGGAGTTCGGACAAGGAGGGGTATAATGCGGGTGCGCCCATACGCAAGTACATATAGGAAGCAAAAGCGCCTCGGGTTCCTGTCACAGCACGTCGTTTCTGCATGCAACTGGAATTGAGCGGTATAATTATTTGTTCATTCATTTTTCATATCAACCATGGTTAAAGTCCTCCTGACAGGTAAGGTGTCCCTTTTAATCGCGGCGAAACCAAACTAGTAGGCTGACGGTCTGGTACAGGTGGTAGTGGCTTCATTGCCGCCCACATCATTGATATTTTGTTGGCACGCGGGTGAGTTTGGGATGCAATTTTTGCTCGATTATCTGTGAAATAAACCTGACTGTAATTGATCCAGATTCGATACAGTGGTGACGGTCCGCTCCGACGAGAAGGGCCAGAGAATCCTCGATGCCCATCCCAACACGCCCAAGGAGAAGCTCTCCTACGTCGTCGTCAAAGATGTCGCGGCCGACGGGGCATTCGATGACGTGAGTTGGGAATCGCCCATTCTGTTGCACCCACCTAACTGTTTACCTGGAAGGCCGTCAAATCCAACCCACCGTTCGATTACGTCCTCCACACTGCTTCCCCGTTCCATTACAACGTACAAGACCCCGTGAAGGATTTTCTAGATCCAGCGATCAAGGGCACGACGGGTGTTCTGAAGGCAGTCAAAGCATATGCACCGACGGTGAAGCGGGTCGTGGTCACGTCGTCTTTTGCGGCGATTACCAACCCTAAGGAGCATCCCAAGGTGTACAGCGAAAACAACTGGAACCCCGTAACGTGGGAGGATGCTATGGATCGCTCCCAAACCTACAGAGCCAGCAAGGTAGGTGGGTCCTATCCCCATTGGATGGTTCGTTGTTCTAACACTTGATTCGACAAGACATTCGCAGAGAAAGCCGCGTGGGACTTTGTTGAGAAGGAGAAGCCAAACTTCGACATTGCGACCATTAACCCACCGCTTGTCCTGGGTCCGGTCGTGCACTACTTGAACTCCCTCGACTCCATCAACACGTCCAATATGCGGATCGCTGGGTTCATCCGAGGCGAATACAAGGACAAGTTGCCCCCGACTGCCACATACCTGTGGGTCGACGTACACGATGTTGCTCTAGCGCACGTGAGAGCCATTGAAGTCGATGCGGCGGGCGGACAGCGGTTCTTTTTGACCGCTGGCCTGTACTCCACCAAAGACATTGCCGATATCATTCGAGAATCGTTCCCTGCCCTGGCTGACAAGCTCCCTCCGCCGGACTCGCCCAGTGATATGCCAGCTGATGTCTACGGGTATGACAACAGCAAGTCCATCGAGGTGTTGGGTATCAAGTATCATACTCTGAAGGAATCTGTGGAGGAGACCGTCAAGTCGTTGCTGGCTGTGGGGGCATAATGGTGATGCAAGACGTTGCCATATTTTTCTGCGGTATTCCAACCAGAATTAGAACCATAGATAGTCTCACGAAGCCTTATATTTATTATGATTATCGCTCCAGTTTCGTTGTAGATATTTCCAATTCGTGTTCAAATGTATATAATTACATAATCAATGCAAAACTGCGTGTGTGGACGACCCTGACCGCCGTATGTAGTGCCAGGCTTGGCGCGCCGTCCACTTCTTTTCCGATGTCCAACTTTTCTCCAGCGTGCACGGAGAGAACATCGCTCTCGATTCCATCGTCAATCTTCAACCCCACACGATGTCGTCAGCGCGGTTATCACCCACGGCGAATCTTCTACGGAGGAGTCGTCTGTTTGCACTTCCGCAAACATTGACGCCTCCTCAGGAACCGCCGACCTCCAGGGTGACCTACACGTCCGAAACGGCCACCCTCCCCCATCCGATTCGAGCGTCCATTGCAAGCCCTCGGTCCTCGTTGGCAAGAGGAGACTGGGGTTTGAAACGACCTCTGCCTGCCAAGAGCACATCCGCGCAAGCCAAGCGGCCTATCGTTCGAATCCTTGAACACGATACCTACGAACATGTCACCGACTTTGAGTCTGCCTCCGACCACACGGTGACCTTGGAGAAATTCCAGGAACTCCACATGCCCATGTCGCTCCCGACTAAGGTCAACTACGCCACGAGCATCGTCCCCAGACACCAGAGTCCCTTCGAGACACACCTCGACAACACGAACACGAGTGCTGGTCTGGATCAGCCCGGAGCCCGGCAATACAAACATTCAGGACCGTGGCTTGCTGGACTGTCGGAAGCAGAATTCAACGCGTACCTGAAGAAGGTGCAACGGGGTCGCCCTGCGATTATGCACAAGCTTCGCGAGCAACTCGTTGCCAAGCGGACCGCCGAGCGCAAGAAGCAAGCCCAGGACAACGGCGAGGATCTGCAAGCCCTGAGCCCCGTCCAGGTGACCGACGAGGAGTTCCAGGTCTATTTGAAGAAGCTCCGAGCGGACCCGTTCGCGTTGGGCCCCGTGGTCTTTGAATTGCTAGACCTCCCGTCTTCTCCGGCGGTGCCCAGTGACCGCATCGGCCAGAAGTACTTCCAGTCTCCCGGCACCAAGCTCCCGTCGGCCGAGTACGCCGTGACCGGTCCTCCGCGCACCCACCCCTCCGCCGGTCTCTCCTACTCGCGATCGCACGCCTTGATCTACAACCACCCCAAGTTCGGGCCTCAGACCTACCAGCGCCCCGTCGAGGCGCGTATCCTGCGCCCGAAGGGCCGCTTCAAGGGCAAGACCGCCAAGGCCATCGCCGGTGTGGGTGGTATTGCCGTGGAAGACCTGAACGCCATGACCTTCGTGGAGCAAGGATCGCCTCCCGGCCTGGCCGCCTTCGACGCCACGATCCCCGGCGGTGCCAAATACTACGTGACGCCCATCCGGGCCTCGATCAACTCCGAGGGCCGCATCAACCTGGCGTCCTACCGGGCCAGCGCCTCCGCCAAGGCGCCCCACGGTCTCGAAGATTACAAGAAGCCGAACACTCTGAATATTGCGGACTACGCTCGCGGATACCAGCGAACGGTCCCCCGGCTGGACAGAGGCATGCGCCGCAATACATCGGCTCCGAGCCCTGAATCGCAGGGCTCCACCGAGGACATCGCGCGGAACTTGATGAAGACGTTGAGCTCGTAGAATGGTTGAAAGTGGGTGTCTTGTCTTCCACCTCCGTCCTGTTTATCTAGCATGGGATTCTTGGCACTAGGAATGTTTATTGTACGATTAGAATATCTTCTTTCCCTTTTCCTTCACCTTTTTCTTTTTTTTTTCTTCTCTTTTTCCCCCGCTATCTTTGATGTAAAGCACTTTCGTCTTGCTGTAAATGAAATGATAACTTTAACTTGACTTCATCTATGCATCACCAATCCATGCAATTGTAAAAATCTCGACTCTCCATAGACCCGGGTATCATATATACAGTATCAAAATAAAACGCCACACCAACCTTCCCAAAACCCAACCAATATGCAAACCTTCCTATTACCCATTCCTCCACAAATAGAAAAGGCACAGAAAAGCAACCCACAAAACACGGCAGCTCATCAAAGATCAAATCCATACAGGATACCATCACGGAGCAGGCACATACCCCTCAATCGAACCCCCACGATCATCCCCAGGCCCCATCCTCGGCGCAACAGCAGCTGCACCCCCCAAATCATTCTCGCGAACGCACACCCCAACCCTCCCATCTCCCCAAGTTCCCTCCACAGAATCACCCCTCTCCATCGCCAGCGCACGAGCCGCGCGGCCCTCATCCCTCACCGACAACCGCGCCATATCCCCCGCGACATCAGCCGGTTCACGCCCGACAGAGTCAACATCCATAGAAAGATTCTCCAACTGGCCCGTCACATTACGCACAGACGGGGGATTATCCGTACTCCTCCCCTTGCCCTTGCCGTTAACCTGACCCGACTGCGCAGCCCGACCCTCCTCCAACAAAAGAATCTCCTGACCACCCGCAACATCCGCCGCGCGCCTCTCCCAAACGGGCTCCGCAGCAAGCTGAACGCGAATATAAAGCGCCCGCTCGGCACAATCATCCGAGCACCATTTCTCCAGCGACTCGCGCGGCACGATATTCATAGACCGGCCTCGGCCGCCGGGGCCGCTTCCTTTCGCGCCCCACGTGATGCGGTAGCTGCCGTTTGCGCCGGTGCTGGAGGCATTTTCGGTGCGGTGGGGGCGGGGACAGAGCGGGTAGCCGCAGTGGCCTTCGATGTTGCGCTCTTGGATGAGGTTGTCGTAGTCGGAGGGTTGGAAGGGGACGAGGGCTGATTTGAGGGCGTGGGCGTCTGTGGGGGAGGGGGCGGCTGGGTCGGCGGTGGGGGAGGAGGGGAGGGTGATGAGGTCGAGGATGTGGTCTAGGATGAGGGCTTCTGTGTCTTTCTGGGATTGGATGCGGTGGGCGTGGTGGAGGGCGATGGCTAGGTGGCGGGGGTCGGAGGAGGTTTGGTTTGGGCCCTGGGAGGTGGAGGGTTTTGCGGGCGCGCGAGAGGCGTTGTTGGTGGGTTTGGGTTTGGGGGCGGATGCGGTGGAGGCTGCGTGGGTGGCGGGGAGGGAGTTTCTCACGGTGGGTTTGTGGGAGGACATGTTGTTGTTGTTGCTCTTGTTGTTTGTTGTAATAGAGTTGTTTGAAGTTGGTGGTGTTGGATGATTGATGATGGGTTTTGGGTGGGAGAACTAGCGGGTCAGGAAAAGCTTATGACGACGACCTTAGTTACCTAATATTCCCCATCACTGTACATTCTTGATATTGATCCAAAATTATAGATTATTTATTTAAAGATTTGGACATATAGATTCTTGTTATTGCTATAGCTGTTTAATGGGCGAATATACATCAGTACATCCACTTGATTCAGCTAAGTATTGTACCAGCCCTAATCAATTACCAGTATTGAGATAACATGAGGCTCCTGAATATATATAGTTCGTAATGTCCGACCATCTGTTTGGACGGTCGAAGCCATCGATCAAACTGTCCTCGGACAACAATAGTCAAGTCTTGCAAACGAATATCCCGTCGAGACTGGCAAGCAAGTATAACATCCTACATAAACGGGTGCAACCAAATCGTCAATCCAAAGGAGTCAAGCTTGTCGAGCAGGCAGTTCAAATAGATAGCTATGCACACCATAAGTATTTGACTATAAGTGATCAATTCACTCAAGCCACAATACCCCTTGAAAAAACAAATCTCTGTTTAACAATTTGACCTGACACGATGAGTGGGCGGTGCTCCCAACACAACCATATGTTATATCAACAAGGATGACAGCCCTTTGACGTCATGCATAGCAGCACCACCGAAACCAGCACGAAACAAGTCAGGATCTTGAATCTAAGCCTTACCATTCCTTCTCCAGAGCTTATCCCCTTGGTATGACGTGACATACATGACGTAGACCAGCATTGTACAACCATGAGATAGCTATGACACCCCGCCCAACACCATCCTATAGAAGACAGAACGCTCCGGCACATAAAAGCAGACAAAATGCGACCCCTCCAATCGAAGCTATTCTCCCCATATAACGTTAGGAAGTTCTGCTCCTTCCGTCCTTCATTGAGAGCCATTGCTGTTCCTAAGAGCATTCTAAACCGACCATCACTACCACTACCCTTGCAAACAGCAGCCCCCATCCAGCAGACGCGCACAAACTCGACCAAGATGTCCGCCCAGCAGCAGAACCAGCGCTTCTCGCTTGAGAATGTCTTCAACGTCAAGGACAAAGGTATGTCCACCACACATATATTTCATACATACAAAAGTAAACTAGCAAATACTAATATCACCAAACAGTCGCTCTCGTAACAGGCGGCGGCTCCGGCATCGGCCTAATGGCCACCCAAGCCCTCGCCGTCAACGGCGCCAAAGTCTACATAACGGGCCGCACTGAAGAGAAGCTCGAGCGAGTCGCCTCACTCTACTCAAAAGACATCCCGGGGCAAATCATCCCGCTCGCAGCAGACATAACATCAAAACCCTCAATCGAGGCACTCGTCCAAGAAATCTCCGCAAAGGAACCCGCCCTCCACATCCTAATCAACAACGCTGGAATCTCCTCGGCGACCCAAAACACCGAGCTCACCTCCGCAGAGGAGCTCAGCAGCGAACTGTTCAACAAAACCAGCTTCGAAGAGTGGGAGAGCCTGTACCGCACGAACGTCTCACAGCTGTACTTCGTGACGGCGGCGTTCCTGCCCCTGCTGCAGAAGGGCACGGAACGCGAGCACGGCTGGTCCAGTACGGTTGTCAATGTGTCGTCCATCTCGGGCATCGTCAAGGTCGCGCAGCATCATTTCCCGTATAATGCGAGCAAGGGTGCGACGGTGCATTTGACGCGTATGCTGGCACATGAGGTTGCGTCTTCGGGGCTAAAGATCCGTGTGAATGGCATTGCGCCGGGTGTGTTTCCGTCGGAGATGACGGCTGGGGAGAGTGATGATCTTCAGAAGAGTAGCATTCCCAAGGAGAAGTATGAAGGGAAGGTGCCTGCGGGCCGGCCGGGGAAGGATGAGGATATGGCGGGTGCGGTGCTGTTCACGACGGCTAATCAGTATCTGAATGGACAGACGATTGTGGTGGATGGTGGGTATGTTTTGGCGGCTGGGACGGTCTAGCAGTACAGTCTGGGGGGTCTCTACCAAAATTAATGATTATGATGATTATTATTAGCTTATGAATATTCAATTCTGATATAGTCTGTTCTATAAATGCCTGCTCATGTACGTCCCTTGGTGTAAATCCGTTGACTTCCATCCCGTGCTCACCATAGCCCTAAGTCCCCTAATGCAATCTCGTGCTTTTCATCTTTCATGTTCGACGCTCACCAAAACAGACATTCCCACTGGCCTCTATACTATACAACTTATCCTACAATATTCTCTCTCTAAGTATTGCCAAGTATGACCAGAAAAATAACTGGATGTTCAACTATATACAGGAAATCATAGTAATAAGGGGCCGGATAGTAATGACCTCGATAGTGATAAACCCCACAGTGATAGACCCTGTAATGACAGACTGAGATAGTGATAATTCCCCATAGTGATAAGCCTGGTAGTGGCTTTAATGACTGTAGTGACCGTAGTGACCGTGGTGACGGCGGTGACCTGTAGTGATAGCCCCCATAGTAATAAGCCGGTAGTGATATGCCGGTAGTAATAAATCCTCCAAAAAACCCCAAAAAAAAGACCAAAAAATGATCAAAAAAAAAAAAAAAAAAAAAGCCTCCCAGACTCCAAAAACGCCGGGGATGGCCAGTCCCAACACCCAATATCCCAAAACAATTTTTTGATAAGTATTTTATTTGTTTTTTTGTTTTTTTCCCACTTTCTTTTCGTTTTTTATTCCCCCGGCCAAAAGAAAGACAAAAAAGCAACGCAAACAAACCCAAACCCAAACAAAAGAAATCCTCCCCAATCTCCCACGACCACCCACGGCACCTGCAAGTCAATTAACACAGATCAGCCAGAAGGCATGCAATGCGTGAGACCTACCAGCAACCCTTCATGGTTGCGCCAGCATGACAACCTCGAATCCACTCACGCCGCAGCGTGCGACTCCCCCGAACCCCCATCCACAAAAACCCCCACCTCGGTCTCCGCGTGAGACGTCGACGGCGTCGTCGGTGCTTCCGGCCAAAGGACTACGACTTAAAGGTGCGTACACCCGTGCGTCATTACGTTCTGGGCCAACCTCTGAAGCGCGGCGTCCTCTGCGCATGGTGTGTTAGTCAAGTCGACATCATCCGGCAAGGCACCGATCAACTCACCCATAATTGCAACTGATGGCACCACCAATACCACGGCAGGACATCACACACGACTCCGGGCCTGTGGCCAGGTTAGCCGGCCCGGGAGTATGGCCACTATCCACCCATAGCGGCCACCCCCCAGGCAACAACAAGCTGACAAAGGAAAACCAACGAGTGGCTGACCCGAAGGTCTAAGAGGGGTACAAACGAAGGTGCATATGCAGGGTGATGTGGAGGGGGTGCTTTAACGAGAGACGAGGAAATCCTGACCCAACTCCAAAACTTACCACCCGCTAAATATATGGATGCGGGTATCAACCCACCGGTCGATTTCGACGACCGAAACCTCACCGAAGTGGACACACCTCTTCGGCTTGACGCCCGCGCTGGCGCCAAGGATAGGCCGAAGAGGCCCTACCACCCGGTGTGGTGGAACGAATGGCTGGCGGCCGGGGATTAACGAGTGGCAGCCTCCCCCGGTGGGAGGCTGAGGGCGGCGGTCACGGCGGATCCGCGAAAGAGTGTGGGGGACGGGGTCCCGGCGGCGTTGGCGGCTGGCCTGCGTCACCTGCGCGCGGTGAGGCATGGCCGGAGGGGAGGACGAGATAGAGACTGGAAGGCGCCGAGGCACCGGAAGGAGGGACGGGGAGGAGGCTCCCGAAGAAATGACAGGCCGGTGTCGACGCACCGGGAGTCGGGAGGGCGAGGCGGTAGAGACAGGCAGGCGCAAAGGCGCCGGAGGGAGGCAGTCGATGGGTGCGACTGGGGCCGGGGCGGCAGCAGCCGCGGCGGCCAGAGGAGAGACAGACTGGCGCAAAGGCGCCGGAAAAGAATGGACGTCGACCGGGGTGGTGGCCGACAAGAAGGAGGGTGAAGTCATCAGGAACTCCAGGTAGGCGGCCGGTCTGGCATAATAACGATTGTATGACCGGACCGCGCAACCAGAGGCCTGGTGCTCCGGTCGGGGAATGCCACAATGATGAATCATTGGTGGCGACGAGAGGAAGGAAGGAAGGTAAACGTCAAAAGGCTTGGTATTGTGGTTCCTTGTAAAGGGTCACTGGTTGACGAAGCGTAATGCGTTGGGGAGAAAAGGGAAGAAGAGAAGATCAAGAGGGAATCGAACGGGGGGGTCTATTTGTACTGGTATGAGACTTGTTCCATGAAGAAGGAACGGTTCGTCGAAGATGTGGAAGGTACGCATAACTTCAGACAGAAGGACGGTCACTCGAAAGGCAGGTACGGCTTCATATGACGTGAGGGCTATACTGATGTGGAAGAGCAGTAGTCGAAGCAGTCTTGATATCAGGATGTTTGAGGGTGAAAAATAGCCCTAAGTGACGATTGTACTCGAGATTTGACATGAAGACCGAATAGCAGCTTCCCTCTGATATATGTATGTGTTTCGTGCAAGTTTCTAGGAGGAGACTGCAAAGAGACTGTATTGTCCGCGGGAACGAGTCTGTTGTATCTAAAAGCGCAATATTTGCTCACGAAGCTCTAGCCCTAACGCATACAGTGTCGCAAGGCGATATAAGATGCCTGCATCAATTCCATACCTACCAAGCTAGCAGCCTATAGAATCTAGAGAACTCAGCCTCTTATCACTTATTTTAAGCATCCCGGATCAGATAATATTGGGCTCATTTCATCTACAGCTCTTCTAAGTCTTCTTCCAAGCTCCATGCCGCTTCTATCGATCAGCTATACCCCTTGTCTTGCAGGAAGCCCCGTTATCAGCCTGCTCGAGGGCCCATTATCTCAAGCGTCATACCCACCATCGTACTTTCCCTGTCAACCATTTTTACTCAATCCTATGACGTCTGTTTACATTTGAGGTCGCGGCCGTACCCTTACAATGCCTGAGGCACATATGGCCGAAATTGGGGGATTAGGGCCTCAAATTCACACGGGCTATTAGGCAAAATTAACAAGACTGGCACTATATGAAACTAATGTACTCGTGAATTTTGCACTTTACAAAATACCTTATTCTTATATCTAGCCGGTTTGGGACCTATGACGCTGAAAAGTGGGCGCAAAAGGACACCATCTACGTGATATCAGACGAAAATCTGGCATTTGCTACAATACTGGTCTAGCCAAGATAATGCTATTGCTTTTCCCAGCTAATATTTCTTCACTGGATTCCGTTGAAACCGTATGATCTAACATTTAGATCCCTTTTAATCTGCTCAGAGGCTTTTCGACAGAGATAGCAAGCATACTTCAGAGCGGCATCCTTGCCACTGGCATGCCTTTGATTACCGTAGCTTTGCAGCACTTTAAACTCAGATTGTACTTTACTGGAGCGTTCAAGCCTTCTATCTCACAATTTCCAATGGTCCAATAGAACAGTAGAAGGTAAAGCAAATCTACGACCGGTCCTTGAGTTGGCTAGATAGCCCAGGCACACGCATACAAGCCTGTTGAGCAGGTAACAAGAACATTATAGAGCATGTACTGAGCATAATCATAAACTCAACCAAATTCAAGCGCCCATTCATGTATTTTCATTGATATTCCATCCATGGGCTTTTGCAGACTTCGTCCCTCTATTGGCGGCCTTAGGCACACTATATTTGCTTACATGAGAAGAGTGATTCATCTACTCGTCCCTGCTTGTCAATAAGATATAGGGACATAGATTGGATATGGACCACCTTATGGGTGGCCCTTGTCCCCTATGTTAGTAGTTATGATCCAGTCTATATAATTTCCGTCTCGTAGCCCTAATTCCGTAAAGGTTAGCTTGGCATCCAGAATACTAGACAGTGAGATGCGCTCGCTCCTTAATGGAAATCTTGACAAGATGGATTACCCAAGAAAAGTGCCAAATACGACCTATGTATAGGGACCAATATCCAAACTTGCTGGATGTACAGTCAAAATTATCATGCTCCTGCTTTCAATCTGGCCTTAGACAAAAACTTAGCTAAACTCACTGCTATGCTGATCACCTGCTGATAATAATCACTCTCTGAGGGCTACCCACCTCATTCCATAGGCTTATAGCTATACTTTTCTCTTTTATTCCTGATTTTTGGTGATACTCAAGTGTTCCTCCTTTCTCAAATGGCCTAATGAGATCTCCTTACAGGCATGCCTGCCTGAAAGCCCATGTACTTATTTATCTATCACAGCACCCGGCCTGTGATATTTCCTCCCATGCTTAGACAGGGACACCAGTAAGTGGACCGGTGATCGTCCAAAGCATTATTAAGCGAACGAATCCTTCTTCCGTTCTCAATTCCTGAGAATCCTTCCTAATAAGGTGGGTGATTGATCTGTTGCCTGTTGACAAGGCCAATATCCAGGATAGTTGAAAGACCCAGAAGCCAAAGATCGCCCTCCCTTCACAAGATTGACTCACACGCCTCCAAGCATCCGTGAAAGTAAGTTTGATTATTTCGATTAACTTTGGTCCCTCTTAAACAAACTCTTTGACACAATCAAACTAATAAAGCCGATGTTATATACAAGGCGGAGTGTAACATGTTGACGTGGTCGACACACCTCCAAGCCCTAAACCTAGAATCCGGTACAATCATCCACGCGACACAGCGGAACCATCTCCCCCATTTCTCGCGCCCCAAATTAAGAGAATTGATGAATTGTAACCGATACGGCGATTTGAACAATGCTCACACCGCCAATGACTCGCGCTCTCACAGGGGCGATCCTTTCGTAAGCCAGATCTCCATACTTCGACCTAGACAGGCGGCCCCTCGCAGTCTGCAGAATGAGCTCGAGACCCAGCGGTGAAATTTCAAAGATCTCAGGTTTATTTATCTTCGCTCCCCTCGTGTCTGCTACTTTATTTGATTGATCGCCACCATACCCAATATGCTGCCGCTGTACAACATACAATGGAATCTTATAACCGTCGTGATGCCTCTTGCCCAGATGTGATCGATTTGGAAGCATACCAGAAAGTTAAACAAAACACTGAGATCCGAAGCAAGTCTGTTGAAGTCTCCTCTACCGACGAATCCTCTGCAGACGAGCTCAAATCCCCATATACCGTTCTTTCTGAGAGAGAAAAACGCTTTCTTATTGCAGTCGTATCGACCGTCAACTTTCTGGGGCCAGTAACGGCTACGATCTATTATCCAGCTTTGGGGCCACTGGCGCGCGAGCTGAGTGTCTCTGAAAGTCACATCAATCTGACTATCACGTTCTATCTAGTATAACCCCCTTCCATTTTACATTGACAAATAGGGGTAAAAAAAGAAGGCGAAAAATCGGTAGTAAAATAAATAAAGTGCGGAGAAACAAGAAAAAAGTGCCAACATCGCAGATCATCCTAGGAATTGTCCCCCTCTTGACAGCAGGCTTCTCCGATCAGAATGGCCGGCGTCTCATCCTCATCGGCTGCCTCGTCGCCTTCGCCTGCGTCAATATCGCCCTCGCCCTTCAGGCCAGTTTCCCTGTACTCGTCAGTCTCCGTTGTCTCCAAAGCTTCAGCACAAGCAACATCGCCGTGGTCGCAGCTGCCGCAGTCGCAGACGTGATCACACGGGCCGAACGCGGCAAATACCTCGCATACATCACACTGGGACCCAACATCGGCAGTGCGGTTGGTCCCATCGTCGGCGGCGTACTCACCAAGTTCCTGGGGTGGCGGAGCATCTTCTGGCTCCTAGCCATCTTCGCTGCTCTGCTCGCCATCTTGGTCATCTGCTTCCTGCGGGAGACCTGCCGCGCCCTCGTGGGTAACGGCAGCATCCCTCCCGCGCCCTACAACAGAAGCCTCTTCGCCATCATCCGTCCGCGGACGGCCCACACCCCCGAGAAAGTCGAAGAGACGACGCTCACCACATTCAAGCGACGGCCTAGCGTGCTCGACGCCCTCAAAATCCTCTTCAACCTGGAGTCCTGCTTCATCATCCTATACAACACCGCCCTCTACTGCGGCTTCACAGCAATCACAAGCAGCATCCCGGCCCTCTACGAACGAACCTACGGCTTCAACTCCCTCGAAATCGGCCTCGCCTATCTACCTTACGTCCTAGGCAGTACCTTCTCCCGGTGGACAGTAGGCAATCTCGCAGACTGGAACTTTGCGCGCCACGCCCACACCGCAGGCATCACCATCCAAAAGAACCACCAGTGCGCAGAGCAGCTGGCGCGCATTCCACTCGAGCAAGCACGGCTGCAGCTCGCCTTGCCACTCGCATACCTATCGACCGTGCTCCTGGCAGCCTACGGCTGGGTGATCCAGCGCGAAGTGCACATTGCCGCACCGCTTTCGCTGCTCTTCCTAATGGGGAACACAATGACGGGCACCAGCAACACGCTGAACCTACTGAACATTGACATCAATGCGCAGCGGCCGGCCACAGCTACGGCTGCGATGAACTTCTTGCGCTTCACATGCGGCGCGGGTGTCGCGGCCGCGGCGTTACCGCTGGAAGGAGCGATCGGGTTCGGCTGGATGGCAACGCTCATTTCGGGGATCTGGGTGGTTGTGTCGCCATTATTATGGGCGGTTTATGTCTGGGGGCATGGTTGGAGGGGGAAGCGTGGTGAACCCGAGGCGTGAAGGTTGTGTATTGTACAGACTGCGGTAGACTGTATATACAAGTGTGCTCAATGAGTATTGATCATGGGTCTGGAATCTAAGTCGGTCTACCGTAGACATTGTAGGCACATTTACTACCGAATTTGTCTTGTATTAGGGTATTATTCCTTCTCTGGGGTGCATTTACAATCACAATCAAACCACGGTTTATGGAGATATTTCACCCTCAGGATGATGTTACACTACAGTCTGATGCGTATCACTTCAACACGCTAAATCATATTCCACGTCTAGACCTCGTCACCGTGAAATCAACTCAAGTCTATAATGAAGCATAGTCTATTGATCACGCATCCTATTAAGCTAGTACGCACAAAGTCAACCCAATATTATCAAGTGCTGCAGTGCCACAATGCAACCATGTAAGCTTTACTGCAGGTAAACATGTAGAGTGATGAGAATTAAACAGCGTTTGCCGGATACATTATACTCCGTATGTAACTACCGACTTAGCACATGCGGTACACCTGTAGTACAGTAGGCTAGATCTCGCACATGCAGGGTAGGATGTATTTCCTAAAAGCTAGTTATATCTATACAATTTTATTCAGGCTTATAGTTCCTTGCCCCGATTGTACCTTCAACCAATCATCGGCCGGCTGGCCCAATGGCAAGGCGCTTGACTACGAATCAAGAGATTGCAGGTTCGACCCCTGCGTCGGTCAATCTTTTTTGTATCTTTTTTATCTTTATCTTGGATATCGCCTATTGATTCTGTTACATGCTCTAGAATTGTGTGGAAGGCAAATAACTTCTGAGATGCATTTATTTAAAATCTACGCATACTCGAATGATAGGTGAGTGTTGTAGCTCACCGCTACAAAATAGCCTGTCTTTTGGCGATATCAGAACAGTTTCAACATTTCGTTTCTATCTCTACTGTGTACATAGTTTCAGAGAGTGATTTCAAGATTGTGCAATTGAATACTGGTTGTAGATGGTTGTGGACAGTTGCTAGCAGTTATGGAGTGGTTGCCGGAGGTTTTGCTCCCGCCAAATAACCCTCTCATATGATTCTCATATAGTTATGAATAGTTTGTGATCATTTATAACTGTACCACAACCGGCTGCAACCGGCTGCAACCTACGGCAACCTTTATATAACCGCTGGTAGCTCTTGCAACTTGTGGCGTCGGTCTACTATGTAGTTTTTTTTGCTTTATAAAATTGTCTACTATCTGCATAATCGATGCCTACCTTGTTGCCATGTTCATTGTCATACATGTAATGTTTCTCAATAGTAAATCAGCATTTAGGAAGTCTAGACCATCTATATCAACAATACACGGCATGGTAAGTACTGGGGCCGCTCTGCATCTTGGCTAGGCAGCCTGGGGGCCAAGGCTACCAAACCCAATGGCTTCTTTTGGCTTAGATCCATCACCTGACACATATTAACAACTTGTTTTCACTTTCACTTAATAGCAGTCATTTATCTCATCAGCGATATCCCCCTTTTCCATCCCTTCCATGCATAATTCACCTACACAGTTCCTTCCCATTTCACGCTACCAGATCACCGACCAGAATGTCGGTCCGCTATGAATCACGTGCACCTCCATTATTGGCCAGCACCCGTTCCACATACTCGCCTGATTCCGACTAACCTAACCCCACCACACACCTACCCGCACGAACCCGTTCTTAATTCTATATCAAACTCTGCAATACATACTCAACAATCAAGGCCGGCTGGCCCAATGGCAAGGCGCTTGACTACGAATCAAGAGATTGCAGGTTCGACCCCTGCGTCGGTCAGTTCTTTTTGTATTTTTTCCTATATGAATTTTGTATACTATACACTGTAAATGCTCGTGCCCTTCCCCGGACGCCACAGGCTGCAAGGGATGGATATCTTAATGTCAGTGCGTCTTGAAAGTTTATTTAATTTTTAATTTTTTTAAAAAAAGTTTAAAGGTTGGTTGCTTGGTTTATACAAAATTCAATACTCGTCGTATAAGATTGAGAGTTTGTAGTGAAGTGCTGTTTGACTTTCATATGCTCGGTAGAGTCTGTAGCCGGGCATGGCCTAGGTGAATTGAGGCCTGTATGTATCCATAGATAACTCTGGTAGTTCGACACCGATGCTTTTAATTCCGTGGTTTGGGTAGGTGCTTGGCACGGAATTTGCCTTTTAGCTAACTAGCAGATTACCTTAGACGCAGGAAAGTGTGCAAGGCCACAAAAACGAAGCCCTAACTAATTAGGTGGTTGTGCGGAGGGAGTTAATGATATAGTCTGGGATATTTGAGAGCCACAACAGCCCAGTGTACTCGGATTGAATCTATGAGTAACATGGCATTAACCGTAGCGATAGTGTTGGAGAGGCTAAACGGGATTGTTTCCAACTAGTCTACAGCGAAAGTATGCAAGTGGTAACATGACTAGAGAAGAACAAAAAAAAGAATCCTGAATGCATACCATCCGGGACCGTTGAGAGGGCAAGCATCTGGAGATGAAAAAAAAATAAAGACAAAAAGATTGACCGACGCAGGGGTCGAACCTGCAATCTCTTGATTCGTAGTCAAGCGCCTTGCCATTGGGCCAGCCGGCCTAGTTCATATCTGCTTACATGCTTGTCTAATACATAACCTAAACTTTATTTAGGCTCACACTCGGTTAGAATGCATCAATCTTACTATACCTATACATCACGCGATACACAAGGTTGCTAGTAGTATATGTATGTGTTCTCTTTACTTTTCAATCAAGCAGAGCACTATAGCATATAATTTAGACAGATACATGTTTATATATATATATTTTTTTTGAAGTTCTGAAATGCGCGCGAAACATAGTGTACATGATATATATATCAATATATATAGCATGCAAGCCATAGTCCTTTTCTCTAGTTCGTAAATTAGTGAATTAGTAGATTACATTAATCATATTATAACAATCACAATTTTTTAATAAAATATCTTGATCAAAGATATAAGATTCTAGGACCAGGTGACCAATGGCGCTAAAATCGTTTACTAAACCATTCTGGCTGACACAGCCAGAAAAACGACCCATCCTTGTTTGCAACCACCTAACGTAACTAACAAACTAGTGACTCTCCCCTGCCTTTTCTCCGCATCTCTAGATTCACTCTGCCGCTATGAGCACTACTAAGCGCAAATGTACCGAGGAAGTTGATACCCGGCCTGCAACTCCCAAGAAAAAGATTGTTCGTCACCGTGCTACCTTGGCCTGTGAGGAGTGTCGCGCACGCAAGAGACGATGTGATGGTGCCACGCCAGCGTGTGGCGGGTGCGTTAAGCGCGCATCCGTGTGTGTATATGCCTCCGAAATCCAGGCGAAAGCATGGCGGGACAGGTAGGTAGATACCAATCGAAGCTTTTATTTTTATCTTTCCTAGATAGAGAATAACTGGGTACCTAGTATGATCCATTCTTTACGAACTCGTTTAGAGGAGTTTGAAAAAGAGGACCATTCGGCCCCGGGGTTTGATAGACTTTCTCGCAATGATGCTTCCATCGCCGCATCAAGTCGACATCCTGGTCCGGGGATCGAGGCCGGTGATGTCGAAGATGTTCAGCCCCTGCAGTCACCAGAAGCGACCTTTCGACCTGTTCTCCCTTCCTTCCCCCAAGAGCAAGTGTCTCTAAGAGCTGGTGCATCTCATATCCAGACACAATCTGATATTTTCTCTACGCCGAGAAGCCCGAACGACTACAATTCCAGAGTTTTAGAACCCTGTAGCGTGGAGAAGTTGATGAAACCGATTGATCAAGCCATTGACTCTAGGAGTGGCCAGAACAGCGCACATGCCAATTCGGGCTGGCCAACAAGTGCAACGACCAGTGGCCCTACTCGCATCGGTGCCACAGGATGCTCCTGTGACCAAATACTAGGCGCCTCGCGGTGGCATTTACCGCTGCGAAGAAATGCGGATGATCTAGTCGCGTTGTACTTTGCCCGGGTTAACAGAATGTACCCGACCCTTCACGAGCAAACGTTCAGGAAGCAATATGAGTATTTGTGGCAGTTCACGACGAGGACATCCGCGATCAGCGGTGTCAATTGCCCCGGATTATGCAAACAGAAAAGCAAAGGGAAAACATTTCCTGGGATGGTATACGCTGTATTTGCGTTGGCCTCCTTGTTCGAAACTGGAACTCCAGAGCAAAACACCTATCGAGCGGACGATTACTTCCGACTGGCCCAGGATATTGATCTTTTGGGTACCCTGGATTATGAGGTGGGGATTGAACTCGTCCAGCTGGGCCTCCTCATGGGGTTCTACCTTCAGAGCACCGAAAGATTCTCAAAATGCTGGAATATCACTGGCCTCACAATTCGAATGGCGCAAAACATGGGACTGCAGCTGAGACTTTGTGAGGCTCGACGCAAGGGGTTGTTTTCTCGTCATGCAACCCAACTTGACTGCGAGATGAGGGTGCGAGTTTGGTACGGATGTGTTTTATTAGACAGGTAAGGGCCCAGCTGCGTACGACGTATTCCTATGCTAAAAATCGTGATGTAGAGAAATCTCCATGTCCTTTGGGCGGCAATTGATGATTTCCAATGATGGAGAGGCTGTTAGGTTACCCAAAGCAATAGATGATAATCGCCTCTCCGAAGAAATGGGAACTTGGAACGTTCAGCCGACAGGTTGTCCAAGCTTGCTGGAGTCCTACATCCAAACAATTAGACTCTACGACATACTCAAGCAAGTGTTGGACCGGGAGGAGCTTCAAGATTCGTCGGACAGAGGCCCGGATATCCAGTCACTGTTAAGTCTGGAATCCAGGATCATGGAATGGCGTGAAGCTTTGCCCTCTTTCCTACAGTATGACTCTTCCTCTGAAGGTACTAGCTCAGCGGAGCAGTATGGAATTCCCGAAAAAGCGGCTCCGCAGGTCGACTTTTCCGCTCAGGCCAAACGGCTTTACGCAAGGTATTTACACCAACATTATCTTCCTTGGTAGCATCTGATCCATTATAGATTTCTACATGTGCGAGTCCTGATATTACGTCCTGCCTTGGATCTTTTGTTTCAAAAACAACAACATCCCCCGCCATTGGCTAAGAAGAATTCGATGGAGACACGGGTTCAAGACTTGATGCTCTCAGACATAGCAACACAATGTGCGTCTTCAGCACATATCCTAGTCAAGCTTCTCGACACCCAAATCAACAAGGGGAACTTGGTGGCCTGGTGGTATAATATAAGCTGTAAGTGCTGGGACCATCGCCCCAGTCGCCCGTGTTGACGAGATTTAGATCTGCATACATGTGGCAGCACATTATTAATGGCGCAACTATCCACCCTCAACGATATGGCGTTGTGTGGCGAGCTTTCGGCTAGCTGGGATCTTTTCTTACGGTGCATCTCGCGCTACAAAGGCGTGAGCAGCATTGCGGAAAAATCCGTCCGTCTTCTGGAAAAAAGCAGACGATGCCTGCTACCCGAGGGATACTCCCAGAAGACAGATTTAGGACATGATGCGCACGCCATGACCCCAGTCAGGGCAATGCCGAATGACAGCTCTCAAGTTCGTCAACAACACCCTTTACCCCAAAGTCAAGCGACCACTGCCCATGAGGCCCACCAGTTGAATAAAGATCTGCCACCTATGAACAATGCCGGGGAGAATTTTTTGGATCAGGAGTGGAATCCTGCACAGCCCGGGACCCATAGGGAGCAACAGTTTCCTCCTGTGGACTTGATGTCCGAATCAGCCATCGACGCGCCGCGTTTTGACGGACCCGATGGGGATCTATGGGCTAATGATACCTGTGCTAGTTCATACTGGCCTTTTATGCCGTTTCTTTCCCAGTTGGAAGCACTGCCTTCTGACTTTGACCCATCAAATCTGGAATAAAAGCAGTTCTCTGGGGGTCTGGTATACCTGATTTCAACTCAGGATTTTCTCGAAATGACATGACTCTTAAATTATACTATGAGAATCAAATGGTGCATGCAAAATGTGTAATTCTCAATAATGACAATCATTCGAACTCTGTTATCCTGGTTCAGGTATGCTAAAAGATACGGAAACGCCGAGCAAGCAGTTGCTCCTCTCATTGCTTAACCTTAAGACACAGCGAGTAGTAACTTGCCCATAGTTTTACGCCCTTCGAGGTCCTTTTATGCCAGGCAAATCAGCAACGAAGATGATGTATATATAATCACTTTGAGAAATCTCACCTTATGGGCTTGTTGTACCATATTTAGAGGGTACACCTTGTGGATATTGATCTTGAGATTGTCGTGGAGAATCAGATTGAATAGTTTCTGGGCGTAAAATTCGAACTCTTCTCGGGTATGGATGTATCCAAGCAATGTTGGTCGTGCAACCTTTACGCATTTCGGCGAGAGACGACTGTATTCGGTTAACCTGGACAGTCCAATAGTATAGGCAAATTTGGGAAGTCCCTCTTCCAAGGATCAAACGTACTTGAGCGGCAGTGGTGGAACAGGACCACTTGCGTTCCCAAACCAGATGACCGTGCCCTTCCTTCTCACGGCCTCAAGACTCCCCTCCCATGTGTCCTTTCCGACAGAGTCAAACACCACGTCGACTCCCCAACCTTCTGTGATGCTATTGACAATCTTGGGCCAATTTTTCCCCTCAGGACTCCGGTAATCAATAACGTGGTCCGCACCTAGACTTTTCACCAGGGCAACCTTCTCAGGACCCCCAGTGGTACCGATGACTTTCGCACCGATTTTCTTGAGAATCTGGGTCATGATGAACCCTACACCGCCAGCCGCAGCATGGACCAAAGCCCAGTCGCCTGGCTTGACCTTGTACGCCTCATGTGAGAGAGTCAGACACGTGAGTCCACTAAGGAACGAAGCAGTAGCCTTCTCGTCGGAAATGCCAGACGGTAGCTTCATAGTCTTAGCAACGGCAACTGCCGTGTACTCCGAATAGCCGGCGGTGCCGAGCCAAATGACTCGATCGCCAATTTCGAGACCGTGGGTGTCAGTGTTGGGTCCGAAGGCCACAATTGTACTAGCTGCTTCACGACCAAGGACCTCAGGCTTTGGGGATGGGTAGAGGCCCTCGCGGAAGTAAATGTCGATGTAGTTGATCCCGGAAATGTGGTTCTTCACCAAGACTTGGCCTTCTTTCGGAGTTGGAACAGCGTAGTCGGTACGGTATTGCATGACTTCCGGGCCGCCTGCCTTGTCGGCGACGACTGCTCTCTGGATGGTTGGCAACGACATGATGCCGAGTGGGAGAAACCAGATAGAAGTCACGAACAGATGTATAATTTTTCTTACTGGATTGCAAGAAGTTGAAAACAATTTTGTAAGAGCTTCAGTGGACTACTGAACAGAATGCCACTGGCTGATTTGATTTCCATCCGATAGATGCACTTTTCTAGAGGACCTGCGGAGTTAAGGCGGATGCGCTGCGGCGCCCTCCACACGCTCCGCCGGCGCTAATTCGACCGCTTGACACCCCGACACCTATTTGATAACGCCCCTACTGTTCCCCTAATCTTCAAAATTACGTTTATTACGCCGATTTGCCAAAGCCAGACTCAACATGGGTGAATGCTGCCTCAAAGGCTTCCGCTGGGATGCCCAGCCAAAGGGCCACGAGGCCAAACTTGGAAACAACAACTGTTACGTGACCGGATCAAACTCCAACGTCGCAATCGTGATCATCCATGATCTCTACGGATGGAAGTTCCCCAACGTTCGCGTTTTGGCCGACCACTACGCGGAGGAAGTGAAAGCAGTTGTATACGTACCAGATTTGTAAGGACTGTTCCCCGTCTTTCGAAACCTTTGCTAATAACATATCAGTTTCGCCGGTGAAGAGCTCCCAATGGATATCCTCCAAGATCAGAGCCAATGGCATAAGCTTGATCTCCCCGCATTCATCGGCCGTCATTCCAGGACCGCCCGGGAGCCTGAGATCGTCGAGTGTGCCAAAGCCCTTCGCTCCCAATACCGGCGCACCGGAGCCGTCGGGTTTTGCTACGGAGGTTGGGGAGTGTTCCGTCTCGGGGCCAGGGGTAGCGACCTGGTAGACTGCATTTCGACGGCGCATCCGAGTTTCCTGGAAAAGACCGATATAAACAACGTCGGCGTGCCTGTGCAGATCATGGCCCCGGAGATTGACCCCATATTTACGCCGGAGTTAAAGGCCCATAGCAATCAGGTCATTCCGACGCTCGGGGTCGCTTATGATTACCAATATTTCCCGGGGCTGGAGCATGCGTTCGCTGTGCGAGGGGATCCGAGGATTACGGGTGAGCGGAAGGGGATGGAAAGAGCGAAGACTGCGGCGGTTTTCTGGCTTAAACAGTGGTTATATGATAATTGACGATCAAGAAGTTCTTGTATACAAAGGAAGTGGGTCTGATTATGAGTAAATGGAATCTTGATCAGTTCTGACTATTTGGGAGTGTATGTTGGTCTGTAAATTCAACACTCGTCCGACGACGAGATTAGAAACGCTGAAATATATGATTTAGTTTGGAGCGGAGTACATGAGAAGCACTTTGTTCCTTAAATGAGCATTACATCAGTCCCGAATTATTTCCTCCAGCGCAAGTTCCTTCCTACAAAGCTCTATGCTGTCATCCTCGAGATGCTGATAGAAGTCAATCTCATCTAAGACTGTGCAACCCAGAATACCCTCCAGCTCGGCTGCACTGGAGGCAGTCTTCTGGATAGGCAACGCGGCAGAGTGATCAAGAACAACGTTCGACTTGAAGATTCCAGCAGCAGAGAAAGGCAGAAAATCTTCGTAGGTAATTGGCTCGCACTCGATGTGTCCCAGTTGCAGCAGACGCGTGAGTGAAACCCTCGAAGTCAACATTCCTTCTCCCATTACCTTTCTTCCCGCTTGGGTTACACTGTAGTAAAAGTAGACAAGCCCGCGGACCCGAAGCTCCTCCCATGTATCGGGAAACTTTCGAAAGGCGTTGTGGAGGATGTTGCTGAATTTGTGGCCGGAAACATTGGCCGCAGTTCGAACTGCAAAGGAGTGCAATTGGTCGTAGAGCTCACGCCCTTTTCTCGTCACGGCTGCACCTCGCTGCTCGACTTCACCAAAGCGCGCGGTATGGGTGCCACAGGCTGCTTGGCCGTCGCCTGTGGCAAAGACTACTCGCTCTTCAAGAGCCTTAAAGCTCGTTTGACGCAGCAAAATAGGGCACTGGCGTGTTGGGGGACCCTCAATCACTTCCTTTGTTGGAAGACCCCGTCGGATCATCTCCTGCTGAACATAGTCAATGTCGAGGGTTCTCGGGGTGAGATGGTTGATATGGGCACTTGGAAAGCAGACGATATCGGCCACTACCGTGTGCTCTGCTTTCAGTTTAAGATAAGAGTCAATGGAGACGGTTGACTGAGAATGCCATTTGAAAATCTTCAATGCCTCGGTGATGAAATCATCGACTTCCTGCGCGGACAACGTGTTGTGTTTTTCCGCGTGGTCTATGATCTCACTCAACCGTGGCGTGAATAGGTTCCGTTGACTCAAGATGCCATCGACTGTCTCTCTGATGTTGGGGGAGATCATGTCTCTTCGTAAAACAGTCGTAAATACCCGGAATGGGTTTTTGCTAAGGGCGTCGGCATCGGTGGGCCGAAAGGCAGTACCGTAGATAGGAAATCCGACAATGTTCAGGTCATAGTATCCCACGGGATGCATGCCGAGAATAGCAAAGAGCCGTTTGATCATTCGCATCTCGTCCTTCGTTCCGAGTCGGATCGCACCATGACGCTCCAGTTGATTGCGAAACGGGAGTTCTTCGGGATGTTTCCCTTGTGCGTCGAGCACGGAGCTGTCGACATCTCGCACGATTTGGACCAGATCTGCATAAAGAGGGACCTCAGCCCGATACATATCGGACAGCGCCTCGGTAAACCTGGTGCGGAGATCATCCGGATTCCAACTGGAAAATTGGTCAGCAATGATGTTTCCCTCCAGGTGAAGTGACTCACCCTAATGGTTGCATGTTGAATTCTGTATGCTGGTTATGACCAAGAATCAATTACCGAGTAACAGAGTCTACGTCCATCGGTACCAGCCCTAAATATCTACGGAGCTTGCAACATTCACATATATGGGGGCGGAACTAATCGTTGCCGTGTGTTCCATGACCCAAGATTGAAGCGCAGTTGGTCCGCAATGTATGAATGATTGCGGAGATGTTGCGGAATACCCGCACTGACATCCTACGTTCACATTTGCAAAGGTCATCGAAATGCGTTATATGTCTCTCGATCGGTCTTCTCTAGAAGCCCATCTCCTAATATTGTTCTATATCGTTCATCCATCATGTCTTCCTGGGAGCGTCTGATTCGATTTGAAGACCAGGCTGGCATCGAGCAGTTCGGAGAGCCGATTATCCGCGCTGACGATGTCTCCTCGCTCGATGAGTTGGTTGAAGGCCGTAAACTGGAAGCTAAATGCCTGACTGGATCTGACATCTTTGCCCTATCTGCCTCAATCAACGTGGCGAAGGTGAAGAAGATTCTTCCCCTGCTCTCTCCGAGCGAAGTCCCACTTGTGAAATGTGTCGGCCTCAATTACATGAAGCACAGTATGTGTCACCGGATTTCTTCACTCCCTTAGGTTGTATTAATTGAGTGCAGTCCAGGAAGGAGGTCGCAGGCCCCCTCCTTATCCTTCGATCTTTCTCAAGCCCAGTGCCTCTGTGGCTGCCTACAACGAAGATATTCCGATTCCCAAACTGGCACAGGATGACCAACTCGACTATGAGGGTGAGCTGGCCATTGTAATTGGAAAAACCGGAAAGGATATCCCCAACGATCAAGCCCTCAACCACATTGCGGGATTCATCGCCTCCAACGACATCTCCGCCAGAAAATGGCAGCGGGACCCCGCTTATGCCGGTGGCGTTCCCCAATGGTGCTTCAGCAAGGGCTTCGACAGGTTCGCGCCGTTGGGCCCTATGCTTGTCTCTCCCGCGGTGGTTGGAAATGCTGGGAACCTCCAGCTGCGGACTTTTGTCAACGGTGATCTCCGTCAGGACACGAACACAAATGACTTGCTGTTTAATGCCGAGGCGATTGTTTCGTTTATCAGCCAGGGTACGACCTTGGAGGCGGGCACCGTGGTAATGACTGGTACTCCGGCAGGTGTTGCTATGGGTATGAAGGAGCCTCTGTGGTTGAAGGATGGGGATGTGGTAGAGGTGGAGATCGAAGGGCTGGGAAGCGTCAAGAACAAGATGGTATTTCTGTAGATATGGCTAGACCACATGAATATAAGTTATTGCACCAGATAAACCTGACTCGTAAGTGTCGAATATGGCTCACCTCCTTTCACCACGTAACCCACTTCATCAAGTTTTAGGCAGTTGAGTAGAACCATCCAATTTCATCTCTTTATCTACCAATTGTCATCCTGCTAACTGCTAAAAAGAGCTCTCGCCACAGTAACTAAGGTCACCAAAGAGGAAAAAAAAGTAGTGTGATCAACTTAGTACCCAGGCATTGTATTGAATGATTGTACGTTATCAGCCGCGACGCCTGCCTTTCTGGAGGCAAAAAACTCGGCCTTGTATAAAAGACGACTCAGACTGAAGCATGCATCAGCACACTGCTATGGAAGAATACTTCAAGCCAAATGAAACTTACCCGTCTTCCAGCAGAGACGTGCGGACAATCAAATGACTTCCACCATGTCTCATAGGGATAGTCCAGAGAGTACACCCGCACTGGGAGCAGAAAAGTTTGTGTTTCTCACTGCCACTTACAGTGTCTTCCAAGATCCAAGTCTTCAGGAGTTTCTGGCCCTGTTCGAGCTCAACCTGCTCCTTCTTGAATTTGGCAGACTAACAAAGGTCAAACTGACGTAGTGTGATGAGGAGCCTCTGGGTGTGAGCTTACTATTTGACCAGCGGCCCCGGCATTCTTCGAGCAATGGGTACAGTAACAAATGAAGACATTCTTGGGTTCGCCTTCAACACGAAACTGAACACCTTCGCACAGACAAGCTCCCTTCATGCTTGACGCCATGGCGGTTTTCGGAAGTTTCTGGTGTTTTTCAATCTTTGAGATTAAAACGAATGCCAATGATTCTCAATCTTCTTCGGCTTTTATTTACCGAGAATCTCCCAGGTTGTTAAGCTGCGGCATCATCCGCTGTCTCTCCGCAACATTTCCGCCCACCCTGGATGGAGGCGACGCAACCCCGCACGTAACTAGTACGGTTCTCCAGGTTATTTAGTAGTATGGAGTATGCAGCTTGCTAGGAATCACATTCCAAGCAAAATGCCTCCCACTATCAACTTCTCCTTGCAACAGTACTATGACTCGCTTTCAAGCAAAGATGTCGCTCCCCTCTGGACGGTCCTCGACAAGATGGTCCCTTCCAGACCCAATCCTTTCAGCACCGTTGCTATGTGGCGATACGACTCTCTGCGTCTTCCATTGATGGAAGCGGGGGAATTGATCACAGCCGAAGAAGCAGAGCGTCGAGTGCTCATGCTCGTGAATCCGAATCGCGAAGCCCCTTACACGACAGACACCATATACGCCGGACTTCAAATGGTTCTACCTGGCGAGACCGCTCCCGCCCATCGCCACATGGCTTTTGCCCTGCGATTCATCGTAGAAGGCTCTAACGGTTTTACCGCTGTCGAGGGCCAGAAGCTGATTATGGCGAGGGGGGATGTGATTCTGACACCAACCTGGGCCTGGCACGATCACGGCAGCGAAGGAACCGATCCTATGGTCTGGCTGGATGGGTTGGATCTTCCTCTTTACCGATTCCTGCCCATCAACTTTGCAGAAAACTTTACGGAATCGAGATATCCCAGCAAGCTTACTTCTGAGAGCAAGCTGAAGATTCCCTGGTCGACGGTTGCAGCTAGTCTAAATGCTGATCTCTCTACGTTCTATGCAAAATACGAGTATCGGCTTGAGGATGGATCCCATCTCTCGCGGACTCTCTCGGCACAGGCGGAGCGAGTCGCTGCTGGAAGTACAACGCCAAAGTCGCGGGAGACCTGCTCGTTCGTGTACCATGTCTATGAAGGAACCGGGTATTCTACTATTGCAAGCCCCGATGGGAAAGAGGAGAAGGTTGAATGGAGAGAAAAGGATACGTTCAGCGTGCCAGCGTGGAGCAGCATATCGCATACCTGTACGATGTCCAATGGGCAGGCATACTTATTTGCGATCAATGATAGGCCGATCGTGGAGGCGTTAGGGTTATGGAGGAAGGGGTGAACTCTAGCTTTGGGCTCAAGGATGATCAAGTTCATTCTAATTCAAGGCCCTTGATGTAAATCCTTCGGTTTCTAGTTTCGAATCCCCTACTAAATGGTCGCCACACTCCACTACAATCACGCAAATTTCTGGGATGGTATAGAACAGACACAAATGCATGTACAGGTTATAATCTGTGTACCCAGTGTTGTGCACTGTTATGTATGTCCACAAAATGACCGCAAATCCCAGGGTCCACATGTTTGAAGCAATTTGGATTGTAATCGAACCATACATGCAAACGCTTACTATACATAATCCGTAGTTCCAATCAACGGCTTCCCAGACGCCATAGTTTCCATGAAAGACTTTGGAGATTCCTTCTCGAAGAACATTTCCCCACTCAACAGACTCCTCGAGATGACATCGATCGCAAAGGGGAACATCTCCTTCTCGTATGCCGCAATCGCTTTCTGCGTAATTCCCAATTCCTCCAACTTATGCGCAAGAATCACCGAGTCTCGCATCGCACAGTTGACCCCGTCTCCAACGAATGGTGTTGTGACGTGCGCCGCGTCGCCAATAAGCGTGACACCAGGGACAGACTCCCAGTTCAAACGCTCGGTTGGCATGTAATACATCAGCCATGGACGGAAGGGGCCGTCACTCTGCCGGATGATTTCCTGCATCTCTGGGGAGTAGGATCCAAAATATTCACCCTGGAGGAGGAATTCCTTTGCCGCATCAAAATCGGAAAAGTCCACCTTTCCGCCAGTGACGAGATTCTCGGGCTCTTGAAGACCGATGTCGACACGGTAATGGCCATCGCCTTGGCGGGAGTTGAACATGTGCTTGCCATCTCCCATCACGATCATGGAACCCTTGCCGGCAATTGACTCCATTTGAGGGTAGAATGGATTATCTGGAAGGATCTTTGTCGTGATGTAAAGCTTGTCGGAGTAGACTGGCTGGGCAGAGGTGACCTGAGACGTGTTAATAGGGCATGGAGAAGAAGCTAGACCTATCCAGCAGGACTGGATGGGGTGAATCCGTACCAAATGCCTGACCTTGCTGGCAACCCCATCAGCTCCAACAACGAGCTGAAATCCAGAAGCCGTGGTGCCATCGGTGAAGGTGATTACCACCTGGCCATTCTCGTCCCTCGCCGCGCTCTGCACGGCCTTGGACCAAACGACCTTCTCATCTGGGATGCCAGTCAAAAGCACCTTCCGAATGGCCCAGCGATCAATTTCCGGTGCATCGCGACCTTCCCCGAACCTGAATAGCTGCTCGCCCTTGTGATTGTACAAGAGATGAATGGTGGCGTCGCCGACGCGCGAGTGGTTCTTGAACTCGTCAAACACGCCACCCTCGCGCATGGCACGCTGACCGCTGCCAGGATGCAGATCCAAACATCCTCCATGCGGAGGAGAACTCCTCTGAGTCCGCTCATAAACAATGTAGTCAATGCCCTTTTGCTGCAGGATAGCTGCAAGAGCCAAGCCCGCAGGACCACCACCCACAATCGCGATTTGCGGTGCCATGGTTTTCCAGAAATAAAGATGTGAGAAAGAAGGTACAGTGTGGAAGGGTCAGCCAACCTCAGGAAATGCTTCCTCAAAAGTCCATCAACCAAAAAAGCCAAAAACGGGTCTCTGGAACTTGGCGGATATAAAGACCCACCACTCCTTGACGGCGGAGTTAATGCGGGTTGAAGCTGCGGATGTTGATCCCGCAGAGGACGAGTGTGCGGGATGTTTGCAACGGGGTTCCACCTCGTTCTGAGCAGAAGATATTGTCACAAATGATGGAAATTAGTCTGCAAGGATATTCTGAAATGTTGCAATAAGGGATACTCCCGAAATGAACCGACCCTCGGGCGAGTCATTCACGGCAGAGAGGTGCGAGTTTCCATGGTTTCAGTTGAATAGACGAAACTCCAATTTCTGGTTTATACAATACATCTGCTGGTCTCCCCGCTGACGCATTCAGCTATGTACACTGATAAAGTAGTAATGACGAGAAAACATTGTTCAACGCAATCCAACCCTGGTTGATTCGCAATCCCGCGTCCTCTCCCATCCTATCCAAAATGGTAATCGTAAGATAGTCAGACTGACTACTCCTTGAAGTAGATCGAATTCTCCCAGCGAGACAAGCGCTGTCCGATCACTGGCCGCTTCTTGATCTCCGCCTCATCCTCGCCACTGCGCACTCTCCGAATGAACTCATCCACGTCAATATCCACCCCAATCGGATTCTGCGCGTACTCCTCACTCGCCATGAACTCCACTGCTTCTTTTGGGGTCCGGAAATTGTCCACCTGTAACTCGAATTCGTTTCCGTCCGGATCGAAGTAGTACATGCTCGTGCTCATGCCGTGGTTCACAGGCCAATGCGGCAGGATCCCTAGCGCCTTTTTCTGTTCGTAGCTCCTCACTAAATCGGAGAGACTGTTGAGTGAGAATGCAATGTGATATATTCCCACGGCCGTCTTCCGGTCGTCGACGTGCCTGTGGCTCGGGTCGTTGACGATGACCAGACGGTGGTGCTCGTCATCATAGGCGATAAAGGCAGCCTTTTGGTTGCGGAGAGTGATAGTACCACCGAAAAAATTCAGGTGCCATTTTACCATCTCATCGAACCTTTCGGGGGTGGTGCGCAGGCCGAAGTGGCCGATACAGGAGGGACTGATCAGCTTGTCGGTAGAGGCGGTCATCTTGACAAGTACTGGCAAATGATTCAAACAGCTTCTGAGACGGAGGTTCTTCTCCCGTGGATGATCTCCTGGTCTTTAAATCAAGTTCATATCTTCTGTGCATCGACATCATCTGGGCGTCGGGGATGGCGGCGGGATGATTCGGCCTGTGCGGGTTTAAGGCGGCACATCAACGCCATGCCCCCCTTCCCCCCCAGAATCGGTCCTCGGTTCCAGAACGAAGATGCGGGTGTGATTTTCAATTGAAAAACTGACTATCACTTCCTTCATTCTCCTGCAGATATGGAAGAGTTCAATCTACCACCAGATTTTCTGCCTTCGACGTGATGTCATACCAAACAAAACAGCATCCAACGATCGGTCCCATCAGGGGACTGAATAAGGTACCTACGGTTGTCCAGTATCTCGGTGTGCAGTATGCCACTTTAAAGGATCGTTTCTCTCGCGGGGTGCTCCTTGAGACATACAATAGGGACTATCTCAATGAAGACGGAGTGCTCGATGCTACAAAACTAGGGTGTGTTGGAGATGACCTTTCGCCTTACGGCCAGCTAATCAATATCTATGTAGGCCAATTCCCCCGAGTCCTGCAAATGGATGTGCATGGGAGCAAAATCTACTTCAGCACTCGCTGCCTTTCCCAGATTACCCACAGTCCGACACGGAGTGTTTGACTCTGAACATTGCAGTCCCCAAAGTGAAGGATGCCGACTCGTTGCCGGTACTGGTCCTGATTCATGGCGGTGCCTTTGCCACTGGCAGTAGCTCGTATCCCCAATATGATCTTGCTCGGATTACCAACCAGAGTCTTGAGTTGAAGAAGCCGATGATTGTTGTTGCAGTCAAGTAAGTCTCATCCCGGTGCTTCCTTTAAAGCAATTGTTGACATGGAGCAGTTACCGTCTTGGAGTCCCCGGCTTTCTCCATTCTCTTGCTATGAAAGCAGCCGGGTATAAGCCTAACAACGGCTTGGATGACCAGCGACTGGCGTTCCGCTGGGTCAAGCGTCATATCAGTGGCTTCGGCGGTGATCCCAACCGGGTTACATTTATTGGAGAGAGCGCAGGGGGTGGTGCGTTGTTCCTTTTCAATGCCTTTGCATTTCAGACACCAGCCGCTGATTCAAATAGCATCCGGATGTTTTCACCTTCACTCCAACGAGCCTTTATTCAATCAACTCATCGGAATGAGTGGAACATCGCTGCTACGTGCCCGCACACCGGAACTGCTGGAGAAGTCCTTTGCCAGGATTGCAGATATTTTTGGAACTCAAGACCTGTCACCTGCAGAGCAGGTTCAAAGGGTGCTTGAAGTCCCGATGAGCGAATTGACGGCCAAAGTTGGACGCCGAATTCCCCTCGGACCCATGGTGGACGGGGACTTCATTCCCGAGATCACCACTTTCAAAACCCTGGCCGATGATGCTGAAGTGAAGAGGCTTTTCCCCGGAATCCAGCATTGCAAGCGAGTCATCATTGGTGACTGTCAAATGGATGTAAGTTATCCTTATCAGCTTTCTGTTCAGAAAATCACACTGACCAGCATCCTAAATTCCACTAGGCAATGGCTCTCGCTCCTCGCCTAGAAGCAAGAACCGATATCTTCTCCCAAACGCTCGTCAAGTGTTTATCCACTTCGTTTGAAAATGTGGATCCAAGCATTGCTCTAGCTATCGCCGCAGCATACGATCTGGATCCAAGTTCTACTTCCAATACTCCCGAATCGATGAAAAAGGTTCTGAACTTTGGCAATGACGTGTGTTTTGCCGTGGCAGCACAGTCATTTACCAGGGCATGGAGTTCGTCCTCTGTCCCAGGGACGGAGGCTCTGCAGTATCGTTTCAACTGCCCAAACCCCTGGGATGGACCGTGGAAGGGTCATGCCACGCATATACTTGATATTGCATTTGTGCTGCAGAATTACGCGGAGCACCTCTCAAACGGGCAACGGCTCAGTGCCGAACAGTTTGCCGCGGACCTTATCACATTCATTCATGGGAAGAAGCCGTGGGCAGAGTACCAAGTGGGGACTGCAGAGGGCTCGATGGTATACAATGCTTCCATAGCAGGCGATCAGAATCTGTCGGGATTTGCTGCGAGTGAAGCACCTGAGAAAACCGGAAGGAGATATGCATTGCAGGCGCTCGTCAAGCCAGAGCTGTTTGATAGACTGATGGATGCCTGGCAGATGTTTATGGCAGGGCCGTAGTTCGGTGGGAAGAATTCCATATCCCTTTGGTGCAGGTATTCGGACTTTGACGCACAAACAACACCAAGGAGGTGCCGTGGATACCCGCTCCCTCAGCAAGACTGGTTGGCCAATGGAATGTACCCTCCCTGGGAAGCATTTACTGTCTGGCTGAGGACCGTCCCCAATACCTGGTTCACTAGAGGGAATCTCAAGGCTTGTCTAGGCTTGGATAGTTATATTTGGATTGGAAGCATATATTGTGATGAACTATTTCCATACTACGTGTGAATGGCCTATTGTATCCGCCACATTCGGTCAAATTTTTTGGTTTCAAGTAAAATAATATCATGAACGTGGGTTTCGTTCGAGTGATGCCATCGGATACTCGGAGGACACGTTCAGACAGGCAAGGTGCAGTAGAATGCCGTTGTCTAAAATCCTGTGATGTCAGGCCCATCATGACTTAAGATCAGCCTTCACGACCACGGTCAGACGGCAAACATTTTGAGCGAGTTGGTACGCTTCCTAAATAGATGGTCAAAGTATGGGGAGCAGACACAGACGCTCCAGATGCACATCAAATGGAGACTCGAGACTTGCACACGCCCAGCTTCACACTGCCAGACGTGAGTGTCCTTTGACGGGGCCTAGTATATAACCTATAGTTGGGATTCTATGTGCGTTTGAAAGATCACTCAGCATTCAAACGACCCTTCGACACTTCTATTTCGGACTTGCGCCGGTCGTGTGGTCGGATCAAAAACCACTGCGGAGTTCACTGTAGAGCCAATGTCACACCTGAGGGTATAACGCTGATATCAACACCCGAACCAGCCACGTCACTTCACCCCAAACTCTCCATACAGCTTGTGATATCACTCATATCCAACAACATATGACACATCCCCAAGACACCGCACGGACAGTGACCCAGAAGCTGAATTGAAAACATGCACTGCCATCCCGATCTCCCCTATACGGGACGCAATCTCACAGATAGAGTTCACAGAACAAGGTTGTCGGGTGCGGGGAGTAGATCCACAGTTACACGAGACTTTATTTTAGCTGTGTTATGTGATACGATATATCTGATATTATCTATGGTATCATAATATGGGATGGTGTATATGATATGGTATAGTATGTAAGATGAATGATATGATAGGATATCTGCTCGAGGAAGGATCATCCTTTCTTCTCGTTTCTCTCCCTTTCTTTCTTTCTTGTCCTTTCTCTTCCCTCGCAGTGTATACTAATGTCGTCTAGCGGTCAGGCATATAGGTAGTAATCTACCTGATATCTACGCGACCACTTAGTTCGGATCCGAAGCGGGGTCAACTTCGGAAACAACAAGCTGAACAATCTGCTTGGTTGCCATCAACAAAGACTGGCCGAGAATGAAAGTAAAAAGAGGAAAAAAAAAAAAAAAAAACAAAGGGCATGATCGGAATTATCCCCCCCACCATCCCAATGCACTAACCATACGCGTTATGGAGACACATTACACTACACTACACTACACTACACACCCCCAGATCAGGAGATCCCGTCCGGCCGCTATCCTAGTCTTGCGTCTTGTCCGTCTCGTCTCGTCCATCCTTGACTCCTGTGCCGCGTCGGGAGGGCGGGTGAGGCTGCGTGTCGATCGGTGGAGGGGACTAAGTTCTTACTTAATCCTTACTAAGTAGCTAACTACTCACTAACTATGTAGCTAGGTGGGTAACTTCTAACTAGAGAGCTAGCTAATGCCAGGGTACGATGCGCCTAAGACGTGTCGAGGCATGGTGTCCGCTTCGTGGTGTGGCCAAGTTTCTTTCCATGTGCGTCTTTTTCGTTTTTTAAAGCCTTGTTGGGTTAGAGGTTGATGTGTCTCTTGTTTCTCTGTAAACATTGGGCCATTGGGTTTTTGGGCCACTGGACTGGGTGGTTGGGTTGGATTGGACTGGTTGTTTCATTTTAGTCTCGAATAGCCAATTATGAAAATAGTTGAGGAGGGTAAGGTACCTATAAGGAGAGGTATAGACTGGAAAACTTTCCCGGGAAATTGCCTGACTGGAGCTGTGGATTTAGATAGCTTGCCCTTAGTGAGTTCCTCGGTACCTCAAGGTACCTTACTTAAACTAGTAGTAGGTAGGTACTCCCTTACTACTACTAGTAGTAGCTGTGGTAGAGTAAAGGTGAAGGGTTAATGGCCCAAGCTTACCGGAACAAATGACAAGACTCGATCCTAGGGCGAGGGCGAGCCTCACCTGACGGGCACTAAACAGTAAACAGCATATTAGTTCAATTGAGCCGAGACGCCACATGACTAGGGTATCCTTCTCGTATTCTGAACTGGTCGGTTGTGACCTCATAAGAGAACTAGAGGTGTCGTCGAGGTAGAAAAGAGAGTCAGTTAATCCCATTGTCCAATCATGGAGGAGGGTATGTTGGATGGTTGATATTTCGAGTCGTGTCGGTGCAGGGATGGGAGTGTGAGGTCTATCATCATTAATTAGTAGCCTTATCCTTTCAATCTCTCTATGGCGATCGGGGGAGACTGGGTGATTACGACGATGTCTTGTTCAACAATCAGTCAGTCAGTCGCAGTCACAATCGGACATACTTCGGAAGTATCATACCTAGGTAGGTAGTAACCACCACCAGAACAAACAATACCACCCACAGTTTCCAGCTATAGTGATAAACCCCTGAAGCCAAGGTAAGTAAGAAACGAGACACAAGGAAGTAAGCCAGTAAAGTGATACCCGCAGTTTCTCCACAGTCACAAAGCAGTAACTTCGATCTAAATTAAATTCCCCACCCATCGAACTCGAGCTAGTTCAGTTAGCGTTCCACGATTCGTCATACAAGAAGTAAACTAAGTTATCACGTCGCTCGTCTCCCCGGAATCTTTCTCCACCTCATGCTGATTGACCCCCCTCTATTTTTCTTTTTCCGTGCTTGTAAGCAGTCAATTCCCCTGTCTCCCGAGTTTCCTGGTCAGTCTGTCTGTCTGTCTGCCAAGGGTGGTCGCTGTTTCTGTTCCTAGGTCGTGTAGTGGTACGCTTGCGCTTCGGACCGTGGGGATTCTGTTCCTTCTTCCTCTTCCTCTTCCGTAGCATTGGCTGCCTTCTATCTCTCTCTTCTTGTAATTCATTTTCTTTCTTTCTTTCTTTTCTTTTTTATTTCCGTTTTCGTTGGTTCACTGCATTGAGATATATGCCCGAAGGTCGTCATCAAGCCAAGCCAAGTAGAGTGGCGACTGCCCTGATTCGTATAGTGCCATTGAAACCTACTGCTCCTCGCACATTAGCTTGAGTCGACACACCCTCGACACTGGCGTCTGGTGGCCTTGTGAAAGGTGGCAGGGGGTTGCCTTCTCTGAGTCCAATTTCCATACGACCATGTAGAACTAAGCCGACGATGGATTCCCGCTTTTCCTCCAAGCGCTCGCTCTATTATTGTGGAGTCACCAGCCCGTTCCGACTGTCGATCCTTGGCTGACGTTGGTGGTGTTTTCGTTTCATTTTGTTGTTGTCATTTTTCTTCATTTGTTTTTCTTTCTCATTGTCTTTTTTCTTGTCCTTTCTTTTTTTGTTCGCCCTTTTCCCCCTTTTGAAAATGAGGGAACAAAGGGAGGGTTGCATGTCTTTCTTTTTTCTTTTCTTTTTTCCCCTGTCAGATGTCATCCGACCTGATCCCTCCGGCCTCGACCCGTGGATCGTCATCGATCTAGATCCTAAAACAAATGAAGAAGAACAAGTCATAGCAAAAGTCGTATTCATCACGAAGATCACAAGCACCAAAACAACTAGATGTGAGAGAAGACAAATATTCCTCAAATGTCAAATCAAACGACGAAGTTAAATACATTCCACGCAGAAAGAAACAAAAAAACAAATCAAGCAGAGAGTGGGAAAGACAGAACATAGATGACCAAGCATATCAGGTATCAATCAACAAACGCCTTTCCAGAGCCTTTTAGCGGGGAATCACTCGAGAATCACTCAAAAAATCATTGGGCCGGCGGAGGGAACAAGACAGCAAGCACGAACAGAACGGAACGGATAGGTATAGAATCCAAGAAATCCAGAGACACAGGACCAAAGCAGAAAGACTCGCAGAACGGAATAGGACGCACCCCCGCTCGGCTCGTAAAGATAATCGTTATAGACATTACATGGCACAGTGTTGTGGGGTTGGGGTTGGGTTCTCGTCGATGATCTTGATCGTTGTCCAATCAGGGGGAAGGATTTGTTATCCAGTGAAGGGTCCACAGACGGACGCGAAGAACCACACGAACCATTGGCACACGGTCTCTCGACACAGACGCTTTCAATGACGGTGGTCTTATCCTACCCCGAGAAATCCCCAGTCGGTTCCTTCGGGCTGGTTCAGAATCCGCGTTTGTGATTTGTACTGGAACCCAGGCTGGTAGGAGGGCATGAGGGGATGGCCGTCAACCATGGGAATCCCCTGGAAGGGTTGCTGATAGTCCGACGGCACAAATTCCGGACGGGTTTGATCGTATCGCTGCTGCATGAGCATGTATTGTTGCTGGGTGTGGACGTCTACCGGCGACGTGACCGGTACATTCTGGGTCACGATCGGGGGCTCGTGTACCGCAACGGGCGTCATGGGCACGTTCTGCTGGCGATAATACTCGTGGTTGGGGGTTGAGGTATGAGGATAGTAGGGTTGTTGGGCAAGGAGATATTGATCGTTGGGGATGGAGACCGTCGTGGGAGGGTGGTAGGAATTCTCCGACGTCGCGTCCTCGGAGGAGGGTCGGGTGATGGTGCCCGGCGGGTGGGAGCGGTGTTGGTGTTTCGTCAAGGTGGTTTTGCGACAGAAGCTGCTTGAGAACATTAGACCACAATGGATAATCCGCGTGATGCCCAGCCAGAATTTACCTTCGTTCGCACGCGGGCTCCTGGCAGATGTAAGGCCGCTTCCCCGTGTGAATCCGTCGGTGACGGGCTAGACTGGAGGACTGTAGAGATCAGCATTATTCCGGGCGGTCTGGCTCGTAGGACATACATCGGAGAATGCCTTGTGGCAACCTTCGTGGTCACACACATGGGGTTTTTCGCCCGTGTGTGTTCGCGAATGGACGGTCAAGGCGCTGCGCTGGATAAAACTCTTGTTGCAGTCCTTGACCGTGCAGTGGTAGGGTCGCTCATTGGTGTGTATTCGGTAGTGCCGACATAGATCCGACTTGCGATTGAAAGACTGGATGGGTGGTCAGTAGTTGTCGCGTGGCCCTGGTTGAGCGAAGAGATACCCCAATGACACCCGGTGTGAGCTACAATTAGACGGCGTGGCTTACCTTTCCGCAGTGCTCCCACGAGCAGTTGAAATCACGCCCACTACCTGGAGCCATGGCCACAAGGGTACGGTGGGTAGGAAGCACAGACGTCCTCGGTGATGTGCAAGACGTATGGAGTGGTGGGGGAGCGATTCGTGGAGTCCGATGACGCGAAGAGGGGAACACACCACAGGAAAAAGACGAGGTTGGGTAATAATAAAACACAGACCAGAAAGGTCAAATGAGGTCACATCCACGGGTATGTTATAAGAGGGAGGGAAGTAGAAGAGAAAGGGCACCGATGGGTTGGAAAATCGGGGTGTGGATCAGAGATAAGAAGAGGGAGGGAAAGAGTCAGAGGTGGATCGGAACTTGAGCGAGGAAAGAAGGTAAGTTAAGGTCAAGTAAGTCGAGGAGCTAAGAGAGCTAGACTAGATGTGTGGAGAAGGAAAGCTGCCACAGTAAATTAAATCCGACAGCATGCAGAAGCCGATAATTGGAGTCTGGGCCGCGGGTCAGAGAGGGAAAATTAGGGGAAAAAAGCAACAAAAGGGAAAATGGGCCAAAACAAGGAACAAAGATGGACTGAAAGGGCGAACTGGGGGAAATGGAGGCGGATGGAGTCGGGCTTATGAGTCTGATTCGAACTCTAGCATCACCAGGCTATCAAGCAAAGGATGGTGGCAATAATACTGAAAATAATGCCAATAATAATAGCAGGAGGGGAGGAGGAATGATAGAGTGTGGAGGTGTGGGTGCAAGAGAGAGTAAATATAGCACCCGCAACATTAAGAATCAACCATGATCCTATAGGAAAGAGGGTTGATATATGAATTCACGACCAGGATCATAAGGAGGAAGATGGATGGGAAAGAAGGCAAGATAATGAGAAGAATCATATGGTAGGAAAGGAGAAAATAGACCAACAAAATGATTCAAGAAAAGTCATAAATATTAAATAAATAAATACCTGGTAAGAGAGGAAATTAACAAAATCACATAATAACAAGGAGGAGGGAGGGGAATGAAATTATATTATTATTATATATTATTTATGATAACAATAATAATAAATTGTAATGAATTATCATAAATTATTATAATAATCACGAGGAGTGACAGTTCTGAGGTTGTTCTAGCCAGGGACTGGGCCGGACTCTTTCTTTTTTTCCCACGCTGTTGATTGACTGAAGGATCATCCTATCCAACTGGATGAAAAGGATGAGAGGGAAAAAGAGGGGGAAACAAAGGGAGAGAGAAAAAAAAAAAAGGATTGAAATGAAAAAGAAGAGGGAAAAAGAAATAAAAAAACGGAAAAGAAAAGAAAAGAAAAACAATCAAATACTACGACAAATACTAATCCGAAAATTATCGAAAGGATTGGCAATCATTATTAGATTCCTGGTAATAATACTGGCTAGTATAATCATCATCATAATAACGAGAATAGTAATACTATCTAGCATGACAGTCATACTAGTACGGAGTCCTATATCTAATTATAATCAAATTAATCCTATAATACTGGTATTATGATAAGAATTGGCAAATGGTCAAAGAATAGCAACCATAGACAGTAATATTGACATACCAATCAGAATCAATCAAGCAGTAACCGCTATATTAATTCTGATTCACCTGGGAAAGCCCCCCGCGCCTATTCTCAAGCAGCGGGTCCATCTCGGGTATTCCCCAACAGACAGCCTGATAACCCAGGGTATATACTATATGGGAATGACTTGACGCCCGCTGGCGGTGAATTCCACCCGTCCACCAAACTAGTTAGTATCCGAGAACGCTTGGGCTAGGTCCGCCGCTACGATGATCCAGAAGGCTGGCGGCTGTCAGGGCCAAGCAGATGGTAGGAGAAGGCGGTCACAATGGTAGTCTCAAAGGAGAGAGGTGTCGTCTGTGGTTACTCAACGACCAACGGCGCTGTTGGTTCCAGAACTACTTGGAATTCAGAGAGATGATCCGACTTGTCGGAGAATCAGTGTACCAGACGGGGGTTTCCGAGGGAAAGTACAGTATATGGAGGACATGGACATCGGTGTGGGGTGTGGAGATGGAGATAGAGATAAAATGGAGATGGAGATTATCCCGACCGTGGACTTGTCGTAGTTGTATCCAAAAAACTCCGTCTATTGTTAGATCCGGAAGTAAACGGCGAGTGGGGGGAAGGGGGGAAGGGAGGAGCAGTAAGAGGATGGAGGGATTCCGCCAGACTGGATTGATAGACAAAGGGTAAAATGAAGCGGTTACTAGAGTGGAGCTGTTGGCCGCGGGAGAGACTTAAGGTAACAGGCCACTTCTCGATGCCTGGGGTAGGAACTAGTCTCCACCACGCACCTTAACATGGCCAATAATTCACGGTTCTGGGTGAGCCGTAGGAACAGTAGTCGGAGAACTAGTCCGCTGGGGGACAATTTCTCCTCCTACTTTAATACCCTGGAATACGGAGTAGCTAATCGCCTAAGACCGAAAGAGTCACCAACCCTAGACGGTAGGCCCTAGGCACCGAACTAGTCTCCCGGTCAAGGTTGTGTGATTCGAGACTGGGATAGTCTCGAATCACTCTCTCTTGCGAGAAGTGGAGAGGGGAAAACACTGACCCACCGGGCTTTGCCTGTGCCTTGGGTTCCGTCCAAACCAGAGTGAGTATATAGTCAACCAATCATACAGATGACTGGTGACGGCCCAGCCTTGGACCAAATCCCCTAGATCACAATGGGGCAAGTGTCATGCAGTGATGGGATCCCACATTCATGTTGGAGGGAGGTTCGGCCACTCGCTACTGGTTATTCAGTCCGTCTCACTTGACTGTTGGAGATGGTCAAGAGACTAAGATGTCAGCCTGGATTTTTTAATACTTGATCGGTATGTTCGTATGATACTGGTATCTTACAATTAATTTGGCAGTGGTGGGTTACAATTGCCTTACTGATTGTACCAGCGTACAAACAGAATACAGTAATACTGTACTCTAAACGAGGCATTTCATCTTATCCATCAGCGCCTATATGTCATCGACGTCAATCTACCCCATACCATACGGGTATATGGTAATCATTCCGTGCCAGGATCGCAGGAGCTGTCATCGTGATGGGACCTTACTGCATTCGCACCTGACTTCCAAACCCTGGGTTCAAATCCCGGGGAGTCGGTGTAAACACCGAATTACAGAACACCATATGAAAATTGTAGGTACACTGTCTTTGGTGTCGCGTCGTATTGAAAAGATCAATGGAGAGTCTTTACCTTATCATGGTATCATCACATCCGTCCTCGATGTATTCCATAATGTTGGTCTCCTACGAGTAATGGCACAATCGCTCCTCCTTGCCGCGGACGTTCCCCGAGCCGCGATAGTACCTCAAGGCAAGGAAAGAGAAAAAAGCATCGCTCTCCTCACAGCAAGGGATAGCATCAAGCCATTCTGAAACAAGGTAACATACAGTATGTAGGAGCTAGCCCACCAGGTTCAGCCTTTCCCACTTCTCGTTTCCACAAGATTAGCCGTGCCAACTATCTACTTATACCATCCAGCCTCGCCTTGATACTCCAAGACCGTTACCTTCAAATACAGTACCGGAAGCATAGGTCATGGAACATCTGGGAAAGTAATGAGAATCCGGACCGATCCCAGCGGGAGGATTCTCATCTCCCTGACCAATTGATGATGCTGCCCTGTTTGCTGCAATGGAACGAAGGAAGGGATCGTTCCAGAGATTGAAATGAAACGAGAGCTTCTTTGACAATATCGAATCCCCCCCTCCTCTATGAGCATGAAACCCCATGCTGACAGCTGCATTCCTGCCCGAGGCTACATATATACATACATACTACCCTAGACGAAGCAGAAAACTGTAGGCCTGTAATGCAGCTTCAGACCCATCACAGCGCAATCACCACCACATAAGATTGCGAATACCCTGGTTTCCGGGTCGCCCCCAATCCTCCACGTGGCTGAGGGTTGCATTTGTCGAAGGGAAGTACTACTAGTCACTATAGGAAAATGGGAGAAAAATAGGTTAAGACGGATCCTATTTCTTGGCCAGATTTATTCCGCGATGCGGTAAACGAACAGCCGCTAAAATCTCATCGATGCCTCATCCATCTTCCTTCTTTCCTTCCTTCCACTCGCCCCCCTCTCGATGACGGATGCCGTTTCCGGAGAATTGAGCCTCCCCCAACATGTCAAAAGTCAAATTCAAAGCCAAAGTCAAAAGTCAAAAGTCAAAAAATCAATCAATCAAGTTATCAACAGATCCTGTGAGGCGTGGGAATGTTGCATGTCTATCTCTATTGTTGGAAACCACAGATCTCAATGATTGAATGACACAACTGTCAGTGGATCAAGCCGACAAAAGCCCAGACAGAAAAAAAAAAAAAAAAAACCAGGAAAGGCCAACGGGTAGCCTCGGCCAAGGGCCGAACTCTTCTCCAGCCAACCAAGATTTCGACCTTCTACTCCATAGATTTAGAGAATCTAGTAACTATGGAGTACAGTACCTCTAAGTAACCATGGTCGGCAAATCTTAATCGCGCTCGATGGGGGCGTCTAAATCCGGTTCCGTCCTACAGTCTCAGAGAACAAGCCGGTGAACCTCCTCCTCAGTCCACCTAGACCCACCCACTGCGGTAGGCTTTGCCGTTCTGTACAGGTCCTAAACCAGGTGGAAGAAATGAGATGATAGTGGGAAAAATTCAAAATAACACAAAAAGATAATCGAAAATTGACAGATCACCCGGAAGTTGCCATCCTTCCAGCCGCCCTTCCAATCCTCATTCCTTCCGGTTTCCCCTAAAACTTTCGGTTTTTGCTGTTGAAGGTACATGCCTACTAGGTTAGGGCTACAGGGGGACACAAATCGGAATCGTTGCAGCTGCAAGCGATTGGTGACTCTTATTCGCCACGGTCGCTGTGGAATGGATGTAGAATCTTCATGGGGTCGCAGAAGCAAATACTCCGTAGATCGAAATCAAATCACAACCGAACCTACTAAGTAGCAAGTAGAACAACAACAATGATAATAATCGAAAGCGACGAGGAAGACGACAAATTGTTTGTTTGC